ACATAATGATCCTGGGGACGGCCCTTTTATCTATACAGATATCATCCCCAAAAATAATTTGTCTGAAATAAAACCTGAAAAATTAAACATAATTTTAGGCATGTTTACGTTGACATAACTGGATGGTTTGAATTAATCTCATATTTGTTGTCCTCCAGGCTTCAATATGTCATGAATACCAAGCAATCCAGTCAAATACGTCGTGTTATTTAAATCAAAGTACATCTCCAATATTATTTGAGTTTAGTAAACATTTTACGCAAACTTTCAGAATGTGCCGAGCAGAACAAACAGGCCGTCTGCTACATCTCGAGGATCCTCAGCATCAAACGTAAGTGAAATACAACTAGTATAAAGCGTTGCCAGTTGCAAACTGTGGAACGCACAAAAAACATTGTTGAAGACTTAATACCACTCATCGCTGGTTTTGGTAGTCACGCTTAAATCATTGTAATACTCAAATAACATATAAAAAATCAATAAGCAAGTCATCAGCATAAGCTAAAGCAATATTTCTACCTCTAGCTGCAGATAAATTACTCTCCCCACAGAGAAAGGTATACGTCTCTCGGAAGGTAGTCACAGCAGTCACTATTATTTCTATGGCATATTTTTGAAGATATATAGACATTTAAATACCAATATAACTAAATTTTACTATGTTATGATGCTAGTATTACTCTACAAACCTAATAAACCTAAAGTATTAATTCATAACTTAATACTTAATATAACTACTCACAATATATATTTAGGTTATTCAAGGCAAGAAAACCCTCAATGGCTTTATTGACCCGTCACTCATAGATGTTATTGAATCAATTTAATTACAACTTGTAGCTCCATCTACCAATTTTCGATCATTTTCACTTGACAATCAAAAAAAGGACAAAGCAAGAATACAGCACCCCTAATTCTTCGCAGATCCTACTAAAACCCCAAAACGTAATGGGGATCCCTTCTACTTTGATTACATAACCTTTAATGTCAACAGAAATGTCTCCTGGCTGGTACTGGCACGCGATTCTCCATATTACACGCAAATACACGATCATTGTAAATGCACATATTGGGACACGGAAAGATGCAATTTCAGAAAACATATGGATCAATGACAACTTGGTCCTGCCAAAAAAAAAAGCGATCTGCGAAAGTTTTAATTTTGTCGGCCTAGTGATTTTAGAGGACAAGAAGTTAACTATGTTTTTCGATTGAACGGTTATTCTGTCAACTTTTTTGTCCCATTAGTCCATTTTGCTTTACTTTCAGAGATCGTCTGGCAGAAATGAGGGATCAGTTCGTCAGTCATCGGACCGAGGACGACCAACAGTAAGCAAAAGTTTTCTAAGGAAGGTTTTCTATTTTTAATATTCTGGCAAACCCGGCTGTGAAGTCCACAAGCCAATATCTAGAAAATCTCCGAGTACTTAAGAAAAGACGGTGAGAGTGCAGGCGAGCTGGTGGTAGCTAATCATGTCGTATTACACCTGAGACTGCGGTGGAAGAAATCGGAAGAACTTTCAGTAGAAGGAACAGACACAGAGAACGTCTCAAAAGACGTTCTCTACTTAAGAAAATTGTGCAATGCGTGCTCATTACATTACTGTACGCAAACATTCTGCACACTGAAAATATATATGGCATAAGAGAATTTATTACAACTAACACTCATATACCTTAGACGAGTAAACACAAAATAATGTCCGGTCAATTATTTCGTGAAAGGGCCCAGCGCTTTTCGAATCAAGAAAGACCACTTCAAAACGTACAACCGTAAGTACACGGCTAGGAAATTAACATTTCAATGCATATCGTAAACTACAAACGTAAAAATTGTGACGTAAGTAGCACGAACTTGCCATTCCCTTTTTTTTCTGAGTTCCCTCATAATTGATAGGCTGCTACCAAAGCTTTCATATAGTCGCACAGTGTGAACTGCTAACCAAAGCGTCATTATCTCAGGTATTAGGAAGACTTGGTGCTCGGCTAGTTGGTTCATGGTACTAAGTAAACGTGCACGCTGAAACACAAAGGACGAACACGAAGGAGTGGACAAGGACACGCCCAACCGTCGAACTTGCCGCCACAGCTATGCTTTCTAAATCTTGCTGATGCGTTTGGCATGGCCCCTAGACGGTTTCACATCCCCAAGAAGTGTACTAACTTCTGCATGCACAAGAAACTTTCTCAGGCAAAGAGCGATGCATATTGACCGGCAAGTAGAAAAAAACAACGTGGCTCACTAAGTGGACCACCTGTGAAGTATAGAGAAAGGAACGTTGAAAACATTACCCATTTTTAGAAGAAAAATAGCTTAGCAAAACTCGTTGCTGGGCTAGTTGGTTTGTGGTACTGAGTAAACTTTTATGCGCAAACACAGATGACGAGCACGAAGGAGTGGACAAGGACAAGCGCTACAGTCTAACTTGCTACCACAGCTCTGCTCTCAAAATTTTACAGAAGCAATCCAAAGACGGTTTCACGTTCCCAAAAAGTGCACTAACCTGGTTTGAATGTTTGAATGAATGTTCCTCCTACAACGGACCCTTCCTTCAACGTCCCTTTTTCTACTTCACAAGTGAACCCCTTTGTGAGCCAGATTTTTTTTTTCTACTTGCCGGGAAAATGCATCACCCTTTGCTTGAGAAAGTGCTTTGTGCCTGCAGAGGTTAGTGTTTTTTTTTTTTGGGAACGTGATACCGTCTTTTAGTCGCGCCAAGCGGATCAGCAAGATTTTGAAAGCAGAGCTGTGGTGACGAGGTCGACTGTTGCGCTTTTCCTTGGTCACTCCTTCGAGTTCGTCCTTCGAGTTGTTTTACAAGTTTACGCAGTACCATGAATCAGCTAGCCCAACAACAAGTCTTGCTAAACTTTGTTCATTCTACAGCCAGCTCTTTCTTCAACGTTCCTTTCTCTAATTCACAAGTGAACCCCACGGTTGGCCACATTGTTTTTTCTACCTGTCGGGTAAGATGCATCACCCTTTGCCTGAGAAAGTGCCTTATGCCTGCAGAAGTTAGCGCACTTTTCGGGAACTTAAAACTCTTCTTGGGGTCACACCAAAAGCACCAGCAAGATTTAGATAACAGAGCTGTTTCGGCAAGTTCAACTTTTGGGCTTGTCCTTGTCCACTCATTCGTCTTCGTCCTTTGTGTTTGCGCACACAAGTTCACTCAGTATCTCAAATATGTTTTACGCGGTCATAATTATAAGGTTTTTTATTATTCACAGAGTTGTCTTCCGGGCGCCAGAAGGTCAAGAAGAACAGTTCATCCAGTCAAATATGCTGTTTCATGAATCAATGAACGCTTCCTCCAATGTTGTTCGTAACTTAGTGAACGTTTTTCATGCAAACTTTCAGAATACTGGAAACAGAGCGAACGGTCCATCTGGGGCCTCCCGTGGGTTATCAGGATCAACCGTAAGTTAAATATGGCTCGAATATAAACTTGCTAATTGTAAAATGTGGCATCTCATAGAACCTTCAAGTGCCTCATTTCCCTGCTAGGTAATGCACTGTTGAAGAGATAAGAGCTCTTCGAAATTTCAAAATGATGCATAGATCATGTGCATGAGCGGGAACACTAGAACGGCGAATAAAGCAGACTCGGACCGGGCAGGGGCGCACGGCCATAAACTGTTGAAAGTCCTTCGCCATATTGAAGAGGCGGTCAACGCGACGTAGAGTGTGGGCACCCTGCTTCGTATTGGTGTAAAAAAGTACACAAGGAGGACGAGGAGTAGTATTAAGAGGCAAAATAGCAAACAGACCCTCCCGGAGGGCCACCAGCAACCAACACCCTCCCTTAGTACCGTGGGTAAAGGAAGTCCAGGAGGTGCGAACACGTCCGATTCAAAGTCAAACTTGAGGTACAAACGAGACTTCTGTGGAGGCGTGATTCATGTCAACCCAGCATTCACATAGGCTACCAAGTCAGCGTCCTCGGACACTGATGAGGGAGGAAAAAAACACGGAGAAACCCATAGAAAGACAACTTCGATGAGGCTGCCTGAGACCGCCACTAGGTGTGCTGTCGGTCACTTTTCAGTGGCGCCAAAAGTGTATCGGTGTATCTGGAGAGTCCACTAATAAAACAGACGAATTTATGTAATGTGCCAACTGCCAAGGCACCCGCCGCTGGAACTACAACAAGCTTCAAGGCCCGGTCTTCACGTCGTTAACGAATCAATTCGTTTATGTTCAACTGCGTCTCAGCCTGAAATCATTTAACACATGATCCAAATGTACGAAATAAGTTTTGAAATTATCGCCATTAGTTAAAGTCAACTATTGTGCCTCTGTTTGCAAACAAAATTTCTGTCGCCGAAGATAATACATTTTTTAGATGTGGCCATAATAGTGGCTATCGTTTTAAATAACATTCTGAGGACACGTTTGAATGTAAAAATTATTCGATTAAACAATTTCATCCAGTAAGCTGAAGCTACTAATTTAAAACTGAATGTTTTATTAGTATCACTTCCTTTTATATTTAAGTGTATTCACTGCAAAAAAAAATCATTTATGGATTCTTTAATTTAATGTATCATATGTACAGTCAAATTGTAATAATCTCAACTTTATATGCCATTTATCGATTTCTTATTGTTCATCTTGTCTAAAAAATAGGACACAGCGAGAACACAGCGGCCCTGGCCTTTCAAATACACCTTTAAATTGCATACCCACTTGTGTTAACCAAGAGGGGTTCTCTTCTCTCTCGTCAAAGGGCATGCAATTGGCCAATTATATACAATTACATAATATTTATAAATACACTAACTGGAATAGGTAAGGTGGAAGTTTTCCAAAACATTTGAATTTATAAAACACTTTCACGATTATACTACGTGAAAAAAGATATGAGTTCCTAGGTATCATGTTTCATCGCCAAAGTAATTTCAGATGGCAGAGATGGCATTGCCCAATTTGCATTATCCAATATTTCCCGAGAACTACATTAAAAAAAGCCGAAGATATTGTTCAACCGGGAGTGACCATGTCTATTTTTTGTACAGGTGAAACTTTGTTTCCTTTTCAGCAATCGTCCGACAGAAATGAAGGATCGGTTCACCAGTCAGCGGAGCGAGGAGGAGCCCACGTAAGTTGACCACCGATTGCAGTGATGATCATAAGTGCTGGCTATACTCCGGGTTATGAAACATGTTGTAAATATGAAGCAGCAGAATAAGTACTCCGAAGTGCTGAAAAGCGCTGATAGTCTTTCTCATAGCTGGGATAATTCGCCGAACTTTCAACCTGACGTGGAAAGGCTGTTAAGAGAGGCAGCTGTATCAAACAATGCGCGCCGCCCTCGAAAATACGCAAACGTCCAGGAAGTGGAGATGGTCTCTCTTCGGGTGATTATTCATCGTAGCTATTTTTAAAATAAAGCGTGTTATAAAGCCAGAAGTATCACGTGTTCACCTTACTGTGATTAGCGGATGACTATACTCCGTTTCACCTTCAGTCCGAGCGCAGCGGACGCTAGGAGTAATCCCAGCCAATCCAGCGTGGGGAGAGTGTCATGTGACCTTGAGCTCCCTGTGTCCCTCTGCCCAACCGGCAGGTCACGCGATTTTCTCCCGGCGCTGGATCGGCTGGGATGGCCTGTGGCGTCCACTGCGCTCAGACTGAAGGTGGAACGGAGTATAGTACTATGTAGTACTAGGTAAAAAAAAAAACGTGCGGAGGCTAAAAATGAACTTATATAGTGCACGTCAGTATTGCAACAAACCAAATAAAATTGCGAGAATCTCGATTAGGATTTGAACCCACCAACTGTGAATCCTTGACAACAATCTTTTACACTCGTAGTCACAAGAACAATTGCGTGTTTGGTGAAGCCTAAGGGTGCACGTTCCCTCTTGTTTAAAGTCATTTTTACCATAAATTATGGTTTCAGTTGCCGTCATCGAGGCAAAACAGTACGTCAAGCCTACCTGGTAGGGAGGAATCGGATGAAGACCTTGAGTCTCGCAGGTTATCGGGAGCTACGAAACGATTTATTAACTCATCGACAAAGTTAGTGGAGGATGTCCTGCCCGGAAACATAGGGAAAATTCTTCCCAAGGTAAGGAGTGCAGTCGAATTATTCAAGTTCTGTTTAACTCTTTTACATCTCTAAATTAGCAAAAAGAAAACATACTTAAAAAATCGTTGGAACCATTTTGTGTCTTTGAGTCCTTTGAGAGAAACAGTCACCTCACCCGTTTGATTGCATTAAAAAAACATACTACGATAGTTACATACAAATTCAGTAATGATCTGTGTAAATGCAAAAAATAGCATTGTAATATTGATTAGTTAATATCTTATAACGTTATCTAGAACGTTAACGGTGCAATCATGTAGTATGTCTTCCGAGATGCGTTATTCATTTTCGAAATTGGCATCTAAAGAATATTCTAAAACAGGAACATGTGCTTTGCGTCAGAACTATTAGTTTCCTTTAGTAATCACGGCTGTTAGCTTAATCGCTTTGGCATAGGACGCCTCTAATTTTTCTCTAATTTGTATTCGTGCACTGAAATTACCAGCGTTCTTTGAATCCGAGCAACCCAGAAGTGTGTTTCACGAGGTTTTTATGTTCACTTCAGGTGGTGGATGACAGCAACGACGAAGTTTGCTACGACCGTGTTGGGTGTTTCACAAACAGGGACTTATTAACACTGCCTTCCTCGTTCCCGATTGAACCGGAGAAAGTGAACACGATGTTTCTGCTATATTCCCGAAGCAATCAGCAGAATCCGATTACCATAGAAAACAAGGGATCATCACGTGAAGGCAGAGTGAACCAATTCAGGCAGCCGAAACCACTGAAAATTTTGGTGCATGGATTTAATGAAGATGGAAATGCCACCTGGGCCAGAAACATCAAGGACGCACTTCTGGAGGAGGTAATTAGTAAGCACCTTTAATGCATACGACTTCCCTAATGAATAAACCGAAAAATATATTTTATTAACTGCTCGGATATTACAAGTGTCACGTGGTGTGTCTGAATTAAGCAATATTCATGGCGACAATTACACTACGATATACAAAAATGAAAGTGCGTGGTATACAGCACATCGTGACTTCGATCATAAAAACATTTTAATATTAGTAAATTGAATTCATGCTTCATTGTTCCCCAAACGCTTGGCAGACATTATTAAGGCCCGACGCACGCCGCTGGCCGCGGCCGGCTGCCGGCCAAAACCAGCTTTCGCCCTCAGCGGCGCGCCGGCCGGCGCCGCCATGCCAACCTGTCCTTGCGCGGTTCAGAGCTCGCCGCTCCTCGCCGCAGAAGAAAGGAGCCAATAGACGATTTTCTATTTTCCCATGCCCGCGCATGGGAAAATAGAAAATCGTCTCTTCTGCGGCCCGCGCAGAAGAGAATAGAAACGCTTAGAAGCAATAAAAAATACACTGAAATAGATAAAAATAGGCAATTAAATCGAAAAACAGAGGATTAAGAGGAGACAAGCGACAAGGCAATGCGATCTCAAGGCAGAGCGGCCAGGCGAGGGACAGTCTCTCCCACAATTCTTCGCGCGTTTCACTGCCGGGGGCGCTTGGGGGATTTCGCCAAAGGGCTATGGCAGGTGGCGTAGATAGAGACGTTGCGATGCCATGCCAACGCGCAAGCCGCTTGTCCGCGCGTCATGCACGTTGCAAAGGAGCGTAGCGTTGTTTTGTTTCGTCTGCTATTCCTATTTCCCCCAATGCCCAATGCGACTGTTGCCCTTTTTACATGACAAGACGCAGCTAGACTAAGTAGATAAAAAGGCTAAGAACAACCGCTGGGAAAATATAGGAGAGGAATTTGGAATTACAGGTCAGTTTCTCCGTGGCACTTGTTGCATGTCGCCTGTGTTGTGACGGATGTCGTGTTGATTTGGTGACACTCTCGAAAGTAACCTTCATCTCTGGCACGCAGCCGGGGCAGCAGAGCACTGACCTCGGTGTTTCAGTAGAACAAACTCGGCCGCGCCCGAAACCTGCGCCTCCTTTTCTTCAGAGCGCTGCGACGTCCGTCGCAAGATCAACGAGCAGGCTAGGATGATCACATTCACGCTGATCACCAGATCAACGTGGAAATTTACCACGTAGGCAGCGAGTGCGGTTCCGATGCTGATATATGCAAAAGATGAGAGCCGAAACGGAAGAATCTAATGAAGAGCAGACGACGAAAGAGCGGAAAATCCGGCGGGAGGCGCCCTCGTGATCCCGAAAGCTGGTGCTGTCACGTGACTATAACGCCCGCAAAACGGAGGCCACTGTGGCCTCCTTGCGTTGGGGCGGGACGCCGGACGGCGGTACCGCACAGCGGTGCCAAACGGGGCGCCGTTGTCGCTAGTGTGGTCGGTCCTTTAAAGGGTGCAAGTACACGAGAAGAAAAAGTATGAGTATCAGACGAACGTTGTTGATATGGCATAGGTTCCAGCAGCTCACTAGTGTGAAATAATAAGTTTTAGTTTCCGATATTAATGACTGTGGCCATATTCAAAGGAATCAGCGATCAATATATTTTAGTAACATCTTAACATTAGGGACCATCAAACTTGACAAAACAAAAGCGTACTGAGGGTCGTTTACTGTCACCAAAAATCTCAAGGAAATATTATGCACAGATCACACTGACGCGATAAGCTCCCCATAAAACAAACAAGAAGAAATATTCGTGAAATTTTTTTAAATGCCTTTTTCTATTATGTTTTTTGTGCTCGCAGGAACACTGCAACGTAATTATCGTCGACTGGAAAGGTGGTGCGAAGACTTTAAACTACATTAAGGCAGCTGGAAATACCGCACTCGTAGGAAGAGAAATATCTCTTCTTCTACAGCGGCTAGTCAAATCACACCAGGGAGCACTAAGACCAGCAGACATCCATCTCATTGGATTTAGCCTCGGAGGTCAAGTGGTAGGCTTTGCCGGAAGGCACTTCCAGAAAGACACCAGAAGCCTCATCGGCCGTATCACAGGTACATTTTTTTCAATGAGATGTGGCAGCAGCAGTGTGAATCGCTCGCACGACTGAAGGCGCTGAAAATTTACTTGTTTCGACAGACAGCTATATGTAGTATGACAATCGTTTTTCGACAATTTTGTGCATTTTTGTGCAAGCACTACTGAAAATATTTTTAATAGAAAGATTTAAGATTTTAAGCGAGGTTTAATTTTACTGTATTGCGAGGTTGAAAGCCTAATTCGTGCATCCAGAATTGAGATTAGTAACAATGCGGCCCCTCGAAACAAATCGATGTTTGTATATCGGATTCTCTTAATTAATATATTTGTATAAGAAGTTTGTTTTTTATTCGCACAGCGTGCCACACGGCATATTAAGGGCAGGCGTTACATAAATGAGTGCAGCCCTACGTAAACTTGTCATCATAGACCCATGGGGTGTTGTCGAGTGGGTGACTCCTTAGTCCGGTCGCGCTCAGTATCAGCTCACGGGTGCTACCCTTCTATTTTAATTTGTAGGTAAAAGTTCGTATCATTAGACATTTATTTTAGGTTATAGATTTGCCTAGAATCTTCCATTTGTGACTATATTATACCACACGATGGACAAATATAAAATTGCGCTACATAAGTGCATTTTTAATACATCCGCGCTTTTGCAGCCCTCGATCCAGCAGGTCCCCTCTTCGACGACACAGAGGTATCCGTGTCTAGCAAAGATGCGGAGTACGTGGACGCTATCCATACAAGCGGTGGAGAAAAAATTATCAGTGGTCAGCTTGGCATCGACAGACCTGTAGGGCACGTCGACTTCTATCCGAATGGTGGCAAGAAACAGCCGGGTTGTCCACCTCTCGGTGAGACATATTCTTCTATAAATTTCCAACTTTTTCTATAGTTTTATGGGATTCTAGCAAACATAAATTGATACCAAGGCGCACCTTTCAACACTAGCGCTTTAATAAAAAATTTTCACTATACTCTATTTCACCTTAAGATGTACCGCAGGGAAGGCTACAAGCGCGAGCTCCTTCCTCTGGGGCAGACCTCGGCGGCACAAGCTGTCGTGCACTAAAGGCAGCTGCCAACTCTATGAGCTCGAGCTTCTAGCTTTCGCTGCGGTACAACATTAGGTGAAACGCAGTATTGTAAATTCACTCGCTGGAGTATGTTTCTGGACGAAAACATATTCTACGTTTTGTCATCCCATAATGTCAATCATACATTCTTTTTACCTCCCCCCCCCCCCCTCCCTTCCACGTGCTCCCCAACCGTAACCTGTGGACGCTCTCACCGCATTGCAGTTCTTTTACCTCATGTTATACAATCATCATTTGTTTTTGTTTTTCGCCATGATTTATTTACCCTTTAAACTTTTTTTACGCTGACAAGTTCTTGTTTACATTCTTCCCTTCTGAACATGTTTGCTATATAAACATAACATCCAGAAGTGCCATTTCTCTAAATAAAACTTTTATAAACCGAATTCAGCATTGGCACGGCTACAGGAAATTTTAAATGGAGGTTGAAGAGGATTCTGTTGACAGTGTTAGTTAATTGAGAAGTAATCTTCCCAATATCACTAAATATCACAAAACCAAACGTTCGCGATCAGCACTTAGACCGTAATTTTATCCCAAAGAGCAGGGTCCCTTCGTACATTTCTTTCTCTAAGTAAGTGTGTTTCAAGCAATTACCATTGCAAGCTAGCCTTATTCGATGGTCACCACCAACACATTCACGTGGTGTCTGACACGTGACTTGGTGCATTTCTGAATTTTCGTTTCCCTTTATGAGTTTGAAGTCAGCGTGTCACCCACATTTTTGGGGAAGTTTTATCAATATCTGCTCAGTAGAGGGAAACATAAGCACTTCCATTTGTTACAGATCTGACTTGCGATCACAACCGCGCCACGTTGTTTTTCCTGGAGTCCATCAAGAACAAAAGGTGCCGGTTCGTGTCGAGTCCGTGTCAAGGAGGCTACTCGGCGTTCCTGGAAAACAAGTGCGTGCAGAGGGGGGAGCGCGGAGAAATGGGGTACTTCAGCCCGCGAGCTCGAGGACGCGGGATCCAGGTGCTGACGACCAACACGCAATCAGAATTCTGCGTGGGAAGTGCGTGACAAATTTCCCCGATTAAATTACTGAATAAAATACTCACTATTTTAAGAAGTGTTGATTATTATTATTATTAATAATATTATTATTATTTATATAGTATATACATTAAATAAAAATAAAAATAAGATAAACAAATGATCAAACATTTGCCAAGTCAGGACTAGTTCCTAACTTGGCAAATGTTTGATAATTGAAACCAAAGAACACAGTTATTTTATTTATTTTTATTTATCACTAATTACCCCTTCATACTGGAAAGAAAACGAAAAAAAACACGTTTACTAGAATTGTAAACAGTTTGCGATATTTATACGGAACATCAATCCCAGCCAATTATCAAAGGTAAGTACTACGCTAACGATCGGAGTATATTTGCGGAAGGTTTACACTTGGAGTGCGTGCTTTCAAGTACATATGGGTATTAGTATGACATTGTGGGGAATTGAAAGGTATTTTCTCCCTAAGCATCGCGAGCACCGAGCTGTCAACAGAGCAAAGTAATAACGGTTAGCTTCTAAACATTCATTGCGTTTTAATTTTAACAGAAGACTTAGTGAGGGTTGTCGTAGATGTTACCGACATTATCATGCAAAAAATGTATTTCGATGGTTGACTGAAGAAAACACATCTTTGTCAGCAGAAAAGACGCAATCTGTTCTCATACGGGAGTGACATAGCTGTTATCCGACATCGTCTTTAACAAGTCTTCAGCCTTGCCACTAATGGTCTTAGTTTATTTAATATTGGGATAGAAATTAACACTATACTTTGTTATTATGCGTACAATAATAGATATACAAATTGTATAAAATAACGAAGTTATACCTACAGCAGGTTTTCGTTACTTTTCTCTCCTTAATTATAAACGACGAGCCTAAAAAAAAAAAAGAGTCAGGGTAAATTTTTTTTTCTCTTGGTCAAAAACCCTTACACATTAATTGTCTTCCTAAAATTCCAGATATCATTATAAAAAGTAAATGTGCCCTTTGGCAAGTGTCAATGCGATAACTTACAGTCCCGGGATCCACGGCATATGTGTGGTATATTTTGATCGAAGCCGTACACTCACGCGTTGTTGGTTAAGAGCGCCTTTATGTTACTGTGATAAATATATTAGGTACATTTTGAACTAATTCTAAATCCAACTGTGACATGTCTTTTTTTTATTTTATACAAAATCATTCTTTAGTTGTTATTTTTTCTTTTTTTTTATTGAGATCTGCAAGGACATTTGGGAAAAAACGTGACCATAAAGAAAACGATAAATTATTAAAAACATATTTTAATTTGCCGTTCAAGCGGAGTGCTAATTTTTGTCTGGTATTAGTCAAGATTTTATTTCATATAAGGCATCATGAGACACTGACTTAGGCTGCACGGTCAAACCATCAGTCTTGCGGGTCATTAAATAAACACTTCGAAATTTGTTTCAATGCATATACGAATGAGGTTAGTTACGAGCTACAAATTAAGATATATATCACTCTCGTTAAATATACATTCTTAGTACAGCCGGAACTGCAATTGAAAATCTCAGCACCGTTTTTTTTTTTTTTTTTTTTTTTTGCATTCTCGTTTTTACAAGGGTTGTAGTCAAATAGTTTACGTTTCGAGTATTGGTTCTCCAAATTTGGAACCCATCACCCACTAAAAATGGTGCTATGGTGCGTGTCTGCAGCGCGTCTGAGTACGAAAGGAAAGACCATGGATGAACATTCAGATCCTCCAATTATGAGTCATAAATGTACCCCACGAGATTGTCCACGAAAATGTAAATGTTGTGGACCTTCATGCAAAACAGAAACTTCTACATCCGTGTGTCACGTACTGCCCCACAACAAGAAAACAGAAATATACTATTTGTTACAGTCGTCACTGTATGCTCCGTTACCCTCTCAAAAAGAAATCCTTTGACGTACTGGTGGTCGGAGACTTCAATGCCCACGATAGCTGGACAGGCGCAAGCGCTCCTGTGCCCACTGGACCATCTAGCACTCATTCACAACCAGATGCAAACACTCGGACTTACCCAAGCGTGTAGCGAAACAAGAATCGGCACCATCAATATTCAAGCTTTTTTTTTCTTGACCTCATGTTTGTCTCCAACCCCCCACTCATCTCAAATTGTTTCATGGAACCCACCCTTACGGGCTCTGATCCCAAAGCATTAACTACGAACACATACCATCACTTACCTAAATCCGAACATGCCAGATGCCTCCATAATTTTGCAAGATTAATTACCAACCACCTCTATTCGCTTTTACACCTTGCCCCTTGAGACATGATGTTCACAGACAACAACGAACCTTTGTACGACATATTCCTCGAAATCATGCCTGTCATAGGAGCTGAATGCATCCGCTCTGGAAAATCTGAACCAAACCCCGAGCGCCATAGATAACGAGGGATATACTCAGACTTCTAAAGTAATCCGTTACAAGTAACGAATTACTTGTAATTCATTACTTTTTCAAGTAATTTTGTAATTGGAACGTTACCTTTTTTTAAGTAATTTGTAATATAATTTCATTACAAAATAATGGTAACGGATTACTTTAATTACTCGTTACTTTTTACAAATATGAGAATAACACAGTAAGTGGAGCAATAGGAGCAGAACATTCAGCAGCATAAAGAGAGCAAGTTCAACAAAAAAAAAATAGAAGACATCAGGAAGAGGAGAATAGCCGAAAAGAAAACACGATTTTTTGTATGACCGCGTCACCAGAACCACTAGAAAAACGGACAAGGCATGTACAAATACACGAGATTCAACGCCGAGTAGGCTATCCGTGGCCTTCCATCGTGTTTTTCTCATTCTCCCGGCAAGGAGGAAGCTCTTCGGGTTTATTTGTTTTTGTCTTTTACACCGTTTCAACCTCTCCAACTTCTTCGACATCTCCCACCACCTGCACAGACATCAAACACGGGTCTGTACCCCCTCGATTCGCGGGTTCACAACTCGCGTAACAGACGATGTAGCCTCGCGCAAGGGTGTAAAATTCCCTTTGTCTTTAATGTGCGCTACTGTATTTTAGCACGCTCTAGAGGCACGGCTGAAAAGTGACCGACGCGAGGCTAAGAGCATCGTCTTCGAGGGTACGGATAATACTTGTATTGGTTGACTTGTATGGGCATAGTGGCCGAGTTCACTCCTCACTTTACAGTCAATTATCAACATAAAAGTGTGTGTGTGTGTGTGGGGGGGGGGCGGTCTAGGCCATCTAAGGATGCTGAAAGAGAGAGAGAGAGAACGCGTAAAAGTGGTGTGACCCTCTATTATTCTGTGAGACCGATGGCCACCGCTTCTCTCGCACCCTATGCCCCCTCCCCTGGCGTCCACGAATATTGATATGAAAGTGAGAACCGATGAACGATCGATAACCCGTTACCGACACTTTTTCTCAGACTGGTCGAGTTTTCGGTCATAGAGTGTCCGTCGTCTCCATGGCCATTTCTTAATGAGACGTTCAAAATCAGGGCATTAATTGGAACGGAAACCTAGAGCTTCGGTGCATACTTTGCTTGCAAAAAAAAAAAAAAAAAAAAAACATTTTGTGTTTTGTTGTTGTTGTTTTTTTAACAACAAACTCTAATTTACGGAAACACATCAGGGTAAGCTGGGACACCTGCATTCTGCATTGCCTATGTACATTGTAACGTTAGAACGAAGTTTTTTTGTTGTTTTTTTTTCTTGTGGATAACAGGCGAAACATCCGATTCATAAGGGAGCTTTCGTGGATTTCTTCTTTAGCTCCGAATCTCGTAACGGAGGTAGACGCCGCTACTGAGCATGCACACCGCTAGCAGTGTCTGCACAATACCAGAGTCATCTCCGGAGGCCGTAAGCTAGCGGGATCACGGGTGTGGTTGCAGCTTTCGGTGCCTTGTCAGCTTACAGGTGAACGGAGTGCACCTACACCCTTTCTCGTAAATTCAATATTTTATTTCTACAAGGACTACCATAACACCGGTGTATGAGAAATTAAAAGTAGTGTTGCACAACATTTTTGAAGAATATCAAAACTGTTTTATTGTTTTCTGTATAAGTGCACGAAAGAAGTAACGTTAAAGTAATTTGCAACGTAACGAGTAAAGTAATCTGTTACTTTTCTGCGAAAGTAATTTGTAACGGTAACCCATTACACTTGAGGCTCGGTAATTCGTAACTGTAATCGATTACATTTTTCAAGTGACGAGCACAAGTCTGGATATACTGCTCCAAGCCTGACAAACGCGTTAGCTGTTCGCGTAGGCAAAGAGAAACAAATGTCCCCTTACATTTCAGGCGGCCCGCACCCTCCGGAGATACCCAAAGAAACGCATCAGAAAAACGCACCGGAACTACGCTTTGGACATGGCACAGCGGGCCGTACGGGATCCAAAGATATTTTGGGCCTATGCAGGGCGCAGAAAACAGAACTCTACTCTAAACATATGCCAGGACGGGAAGCACCAATTAAGCGACTTGGAAACGGCAAATGGTTTTAGCAAACACTTCGCTGCACCATGGACAAGACCGGGCAACCCCTCATCACAACCAGAAACCTACGCATCATCGCAGCTGGTCAACGGTGTCAAGGTGGTTCTCACCCGACTAAATCCGTCAGAGTCGCCCGGTCCCGACGCCATCCACCCAGCGCTTCTTACAGCAAGTGGTCAACAATTCTAGCAACATTATTGACCCGATTGTTCCAACAGCTCTTGAACAACAGGTGCGTCCCTGCCCCATGGAAGCAGGCCTACGTCACTCCCATCTACAAAGAAAATGGTTCCCCAGCAAACAAGCCAGAGTCCTACAGACCAATCTCCACGGCATCAGTCGTCTGTCGGACCATGGAACGAGTGCTAAACTCTGCCCTATTCAGACACTAGAACGACCACACTCCTCTGGCTTCAGCGCAAAACATGGCTTTCGCCCCGATCGAAGCTGTGAGACTGCCCGGATGACTGCTGTTTACCAGATCAGAGACAGCCTGGACAACTCCCTACCATGTGAATTGGTACATCTCGATTACACCAAAACCTCTAAAAAGGTAGGCCACACGCTCCCCTTATATTGTAGGAAGTTTATTGCGGGCCAGACGGGAAGGTGTCTGAATGACAGGCTTAGAGAGCATTTCTATTTACTGGGGGCCAGACGGGCAGGTGTCTGAATGACCGGCTTAGAGAGCATTTCTATTCACTGGGGCCAGAGTTGGGGGGGGGGGGGGGGGGGGGGGGGGACACTTGGCAACACATTGCAATAGGTGCTAGCATGTGCCTTATTTCGCTAAAGTTGCTGTCCTGGACAAACAGAAAAAAAATACAGAGAGATCCCCTTGTAGATTCTTAAAGAATCCGTTAGCATGACCCTTGGAAACGCCACACACGCCCCCCTTTGGGAAACGCGAACGCTGACCCCTTCATTTTTTCTTTTGGCTTTCTCTTTTGCTTCCTCTACTTTTCGCTGCCTCTTTCTGGCCTCGTTACATGGTCTGTGTAAGCGTTTCCCAAAGAGAGACGTGTGTGGCGTTTCCCAAAGGTCATTCTAAGGGACTCCATAAAATTCCACCAATGGATCTTCTTGTAATTTTGTCACCCCTTTCTGTACTCTCTGCCTGTCACGGTACGTCAACGCCCTTCGATACGGTCATCTAAATCACTCGTGGAAAGAATCATAGACATATTACTCGTGAAAGGAAGCCCATCCATATAACTCTTGGAGGGACCTGCATTAATCATTTTAGCTACGCACACACATCACAGCCCACGCGCCACTACTACGGAAACCGCGGGGCGTGAGAAGGGGGGGGGGGGGGGGGGGAATTCCGAGTTAAGAGGTCCAACGAGTCAATCCAACGCGTCAAAAGATCCATTATTGGACCTTCTGAATCGTTAGACCTTTTGACTCGTTGGACCTCGACTCGCCGTGGATCTTTTGACTCATTGGATCTCTGGACTCGTTGGACCTCTTGACCACCATTGGATCTCTTGACTCGTGTTGGGCGAGTCAAAAGATCCAACGAGTCAAAAGATCCATTATTGGACCTTTTGACTTGTTGGACCTCTTGACTCCCTGGTCATAACGTTTCAATGAGACAATGTTCGCATTCATTTGCAACACTCTATTCACCGCATTTGGTGGGAGTTGGTACCACGAGGGCGCCACATTATTGGGTGCCCCAGTAGACTTCCGGTAGTGTATTTATTTCTTCTTCAGTAACAGACAGCGATCGGAAAATAAGATTTTCCTTCGGAGAGGTACCTGAAATAGGTTTGTAAGAACCTACGCGCTTTGTAAAATGTAGTACAAATAACAAAAAAGATGTGTGACAAGAGGAAAAGAAGAGGAAAACCGGAAGCGCGCAGGGGTCCGCCGATAGTGGGCGGCAGCGAGCTTGTTTGCAAACAAACATTGGTGAATTGGACGCCAAGTGGCATAATTTGGGCTCGTTTAAAGACGCCCTCCACTGAGTGAATAAAAACTAAAGCATAAAATAGTAGTCCATCATATTTTTAATAGAACATACGAGAACCCGGGACTGGAACAAGTTACCCAAGGAAGTATTTGCGTTTACCGAGATACATGAAAGGGAAGGCTAAATGTGAGATGCTGAGGTACATTTGTATTTGATATCTGGGGAATTTGAGAGACACTTCCGTAGAAATGGCATAAGTAAGTCCTAGAACAGAGAGACTGGAACACAGATATGAAGTTCTACAAGTCTAAAATATGTCGCCAGGCACTATCCATTATTTAACACTGAAATACATATACATTGTGGCAAATAGTATCTGTCTATTTGTCTCCAATGGATATGTAGTACTTGTATTCTCCAAAATGTTTCAAATAGGTCAAACAGTCAGTAACCGTCACAAGCAGTCCCCCATTAATAGCAATATCATTATAAACAGAGGATATATAAATAAGGCTCGATAGACCTCTTGACGCGTTGGACCTCTTGACTCGATGGACCTCTTGACGCGTTGGACCTCTTGACACAAATTGGACCTTTTGACTCGTTGGACCTCTTGACGCGTTGGACCTCTTGACTCGAATTTGACCTTTTGACTCGTTGGACCTCTTGACTCGGCTGTCACGTGGCTATTGGACCTCTTGACTCGTTGGACCTTTTGACTCGTTCGACCTCTTGACCATAAGCGGGGTGGCAAGGAGGGGCGTGACTGTAGCGGGGTTGGATCCTGCGCCTAATAACAAAGCCACACAAATGAGGGAGATGGGAGAAGATGTTACAGTGGACTCGGGGACGAGAGGCTTTGGGATCCTCTAGGCTGGCTGTGTCACGGCATTGAGCGTTTCCCATTTCAATCGGCTGGCGCGTAGATGCGCTTCGATAAGAAACCGATATCTAGAAACGCGTCCAAATGGGGCGTTTTTACAGAACGCCGTAAAATCCTGTCCCGGCGGCGTATTCGGAGATACCCCCCCTCCCCTCCCCGGCAAAGCCCCGCGAGAGAGAAAAGAAGGAGGGAGAGGAGGAAAGGGGAGAGGGAACCGCGATTGGCTGGCGCAGTCACGTGGTACGCCTGCCCTACGGGCTCTTCTAAGCTGCGTAATGTCCGCCTGGCCGTATAACCCACCTGCACAAACCGCGTAAGTGTAGCTTTCACGGCTTTTTTTAAACAAATCTGAAAGAATACAAAAAAACACCCTGTATAATTGCTCTAGTTTAAATTTTTGTATTTAAAGGCTTATTTATGTGGCGTTCCTTCACTGATGTTTAGGGCTGTTTAGGGCTCCAAAAACACCCGGCGGTAATATTTTTGTCAATTTGGAGTTATCCGATAAACTCCGAATTGTTATGTGCCCATGCCACCCCCCCCCCCCCCCCCCCCTCTCACACACACAAAAAAAGTTTTTTTTATATATTTTTTTTTTTACAGTTTGAGCAGCGCATGACACCATAATTATCTTTCAAGCTTCGGACCGTTGCCAAAAGGGTGTCTTACGGCTTGCCCCGTCAAGGTTGGTTCAGGGAAACAGGTCATCGTACCGTGTCACGACAAAAGCCATTATTGGTTTCCAGTTTGGGCCATGGGATTTGGGATTTAGAGAAAGGAGAGGTTATGTTTCTGGGGGTAACAATGAAAGCTATGGACCATAGAGATTGTATAAAATAGGGAAGAAGGGCAGTTGAAACTTTTCCATTACATCCTTAACCACTCCACCTTGCGTGGCTGCGGGTCCCGGGATAGATTGATGGGATGACTACGAGCTTCTTTGCGGCTACCTCCGGCAGTTTATTGATCTTAAGGTATCGACGTTTATCGAAGCCACACTTGTGTGCGACTTTTGTCGTGGGACAAACTAGTATTGCCAATGACGCCAACGCCAAATTCAGCTGAAGAAATCTTAACTGATACGAGCGCGTTTTATTTTTATCTGGCATACATTTGCATCCGGTTATTATTTATTTTTAATAGGAAACACTGCGAAATTAATCTCCGAATTTCGGAGAATTGGGGATTAACGAAAAAAAAAATTCGATAAACACCGAATTTTTGCTAAAAAGTAAACTCCGAAAAAACACCCTCCGAATTTCACAAGAAATAAAGTCCGAAAAAACACTCTCCGAATTTTACGAAAAATAAACTCCGAAAACACGGAGCCCTACTTATGTTGCATTGTTTATTTTCCGGCCCTCGAGACGACGATAGGTCCCCAATCCGGCCCCTTAGCCGAAACGTTTCAAGACCCCTGCTCTAGCTAGTGTTCTCTCGGGGTTAGACACCATAAGAACTCGCTCCTGTGCAAACGCCAGTGTGTGAACGGGCATTAGTGCCCCCTTCCGGCCAAAACTACCATTGTTCAAACGCAAAAAAAAAAAAAAAAAGAGTGATTGCAGGCTATTAATATCTTTCTCATCGTCGCTCTCCGCACAAACGCGTTATCTCTGTGCTCTGGTGAGACGCTCTCCCCCTGCCTCCATTGCTGCGGGGTTATTGAACTTTCTGCGAGCGTCTAATAATAATAATATAATAAGTCTATTTCTAGCATCCATTCTAGAATAGAGAAAAACGTAGGCGACAGACAAGCGCTTGTCTGTCATCTACGCGTTTCTCTCGTCTGTTCCTGTCTTCTTTTTGTGTGCAACTTTATCCGTGTTCTAGAAAGAGGCAAAGAGAATGCGTCGACGAGCTGTGGGACCTGCACAACGTCGTTCCCTTCGCTGTGACAGCAACCGCCGCATTTCAAAGGGCATTCCTGGATGAGTTAACCCCTTCAAATGTTCGCGAACCCGTCCGAGAACGGACACCCGCGCACTCCAAGCACATCTCCATTCGGGTCCAAGAGTTTTCCCCGGCCAAAACATGCTTTTAAAATCTGCACGACATGCAAGTTTGCCTCGAAAAGGGGCAAAGGGCAGAAAATGTCTACTAAAAACAAATCGCCTCAAGCGCACCTTTCAGCAACGCTACAGCTACCGCTGCCCATCGCAGCACACTTTGTGTAGTGGTTCGAGCGTTTTTCTTCGCTTTATTTCAAGATTATCTTCAAATTTTAGGCAGGTGGTTGGCTGGTATTTTACGGCATATGCCCAAGTGGCATAGTGGCTTAGCATGTAGACAGACATCCGACGTACAGGGGCAGTTTTTGCGCTACCAAAACCAGTACCTGTAGAGTGACAGCGGGAAACTTTTTTACCATAGGCACAATAGAAATGAGATCCGTTAATTAAGAAAACACTGCAGAAGTCGTTGGAACTGTAATTCAGACTTTGCAGCTACTGTGATGAAAGGCAACTAAATAGCACATTCACCAAACCCCCCCAAAAAATATTAACAATAAAAACTGCAACTGAAAACTGCCTGAGAATGATATACTATAGACACAAAGACGGAGAACAAGGCAAACATAATCAAATCAAAACACAAATTTACTGAGCTAAAAAGTCAGTAGAATAGCTGTACAGCATTTTTTCGGAGGGTAACGCTTCTTGTATGGTACACAACTTTTATACACAGCTCTTTGCAAGCAACATTGCAGGATGGAATTATCCCACGAATCCGGGCCAGCGTGGCAGGTAGCCCCCCCAACCGGAACCTGCTGCCGCATCTGCCTGGGACTCTCCGGAGACGACCATCTGGAGCTCCTTCTGCTCTTCGGGGCTCAGCTTCAGCATTGTGGTTAGCACCGGAACCAGCCTCTCCTTCTCGCTTCCTCCGCGCAGGGTAGCAAACTGTACAGCAGAGAGCGATAGAGGAAGAAAAAGGAAGTGTCAGTGCACAGCAAATAGAACGACTGTGCCCAAACATGCGTCTTGTTAATTGACTGGATAATGATTCATGAAGAGCTGTCTGACTACTCTTGACTACATTGCGAGGATTTATGTAAAAATACAAACCACTGTGTTTATCTCGATGTACGCCTCTGCAACACAGTCAAACACCGCTGTGTGTGACTTTAGTTTTATCAACTTAAAGTTTAATCAACTGAAAAAAAAATCACTTATTTTTTTAAGCTGTCCCCATTTCCACACAATTTGAGACAACTGCTATCTAACATTCCAGCAAGAATACCAGTGAGAACCTACCATCTCAAAAAGGCCGTTAAAATATGTTCAATGTTAAGGCAGAGCTGACCATTTTAAAGCATATAACCCATAAACTGTATTACCTAGTTCAAGGGAACGTGCCATTCAATATATGTTAAATTACTGCGTGTTCATATATTCTCCTAGGCTTCCAGATCCATCTACAAAGATGCTACAAGCTAAGTTGTGGTTTCTACTTTGATAGCTGCTTTAACCAACAGCTACGGTACATAACTCTGTCCACCGAACAAGGTGGTCATTATCGCAAGCGTTTGTGATGGCATCAACAGTGATGGAAGTGGCATTTGACCTTTTGCAGCAGGTTTTGTAGCAGGCAAAATATTGGTTTGGAGCAGCCACTGACACTTTTGGAGTGGGTGCACATCTGTGAGCACATCGCATGAGAATGAAAAAGGGATTACATTGGTAAAAGACTTCATCTTTGATAATGGCTGAGAATCCCGAAAGTGTGCCAAAGAAGGCCGACCTGTAATAGTAGTACCGAGTATAATTTCCGAACCAATCGCGCTAAACCAGGTGCTCCCCCATGTTAGCCACTGCTGCCAGCACTTCGGTGCAAAGCGGTGAAGCTCGACACATGCCTGCTGGTTGCGGTGAAGCTTGTCGTGAGCGGCGCAAGTGCCATGGTATACTGTAGCCCCTTCATGGAGGCGCACGTGGCAGACACGATAATCAAGTAATCTCAACAGAACCAAAAGACCGTAGTTCTGTCTTATTACAGCAGCTGCCATCCCACTATTTCGGAAAACTTTCTCACGACTCTTAGCTCCTAACATCGCCAACATCGTCGGGACATTCAGACCATGACGGGGCTAGCGGGGTTGATGAGCAATCTCTGCATGCCGTTTCATCTTAGCACTACGAGCCAATGGGACCAATCAAACAGCAACAAAAATGTGACAACTTGAACATTCGTCATCTTTCTGTACGCTTGGTAGAAGACCGTGTTGGTTTAAGTCATGGATGCAGCAAGAATAAACAATTAAAACCGGGACAACACAACCACATCTTTCAACTAGCAACAGACGAGTAAACTTTGGCTCGCTGTTGAAAGTTTACTCGTCTGTTGCTAGTTGAGAGATGTGGTTGTGTTGTCCCTGTTTTAATTGTTTATTCTTTCTTCATCCATAATCTTTCTGTATGTTTTCTTTCATTGGCTAAACCAATCAAGAGCAGCGAATGCACCTTCACTTGTGCTTTTTGTATCTGTTCGTAGTTGAACATGTTTTGGTCTTCGACTGTGCTCTTCCCTAAGATAGAGGTCTTCAAGCACAGGACCCAGGGCCAAGTCCGGCCCACAGAGGCGTTCTGGCCGGTATGCGGATGGCCGCGATCTTTCCATTGATGTCCGGCCTGTGGCCTGCTGCTACTAACGCAAAAGTAAGCGTGAAAACAAAATAAAAACTTAAATGGCGCTGCGGCGCACAAAAAAAAGTGTGAAGATATCGGAAAGAATGAAAGAACGCTAACCCAAAACGAGGGTTCTATCGTCATATTATTTATTGCACATTGTCATCACAAGCATTAGTATTCATAATCATCATTTCATGTCTGTGTAACTACGTAAAATTCCTTCGCATTCTCATGCATATTGTGCTTAATGTCCCGTGTCATAACTCCTGCATATTGTTATCATTCTACCATTATCATACAGCCTTCTGGCATGCGTGCATATGCCAAAGTTTCTATACACTGATATATTCCTGGTGAATTTTCTGGGCCACAATTTTTAAAGTAGTAATAGCAACATATTGAATTAAGAAATATAAAGTACTCTATGGATCCACCTTAGATTTTTTTTCTTTTTTCAATATTTTTACTCTACTTCAAGTTTCTTTACTTAAATGCTCATTTAGGTTTACTTATTTAGTATTTTCTTATTTATATTATCTGGCCCTCAAAACTACGACAAGTCCCTAATCTCACACCTTAGCCAATGAGTTTGGAGAGCCCTGACCTAAGATTAAACAAATAATTTAGTAAATAAACATTGTGAAATACGTATTTGTACCCTTTTCCTTTCCATCTAGTTCTCTAAATATTAGGACCCACCAATAATTAAAATATTTTGATTCTTTGCTTCGTTTAAGGCGTAGCAGACTTTTTTTTTTCATGGAGCAATTTGGTGCAAATGGTGAGAACTTCCCTCACTGCATCGATTCACTTGGTTTGCTGCAGGCAGTAGAAAAATGACTGAGCAAGCCAGCTCAGCATCGAATATTTCAACTGCCCTTGAAATTGTTGAAACTTTTTTTATCCCCATTGGAACAGTAGTAAACACAAAAATAATAGCACCTAGTTGCCACCCATTCGCTCGCTTTTTCAAAGTTATAATGTAAGTTTCAGATTCTTCTTTCCATGATTGGTGGAATTTTCAGCACAAGATTATAAGAATGAAATTCTCAAAGGCATCTTGAAAACAAAATAACATTTCATAGAAGCTAATGTTTTTGAGACATGGATGCAACAAAATACTACACCACTCTACTGCACTACTCAAGTCATTTTTGACAGAACCTGGGTTTAACCTAGCAGCCTCAAATTCCCCTACAAAAAAGTTGAATCACAATGAACAAGATAGGGACAGACTGCAGCAGGGCTGCAGCTGCGCAGACCTGCAGCGAAAACCCTGTTGTGGGTCTGCGCGGGTGGACTACAAGACGGCATGCTAGCTCTCTCGTGCACTACCTCCTCCCTTCTGTAGGCCTCAGTTATGGTGGCGTCAAACATATGCAACGAATGCTTAGTGAGATTGGTCCATTGGTAAAGTGGAAGTCTGATCTCCCATGAGACAAAAACGTCAGGCAAGGGTGAGGCAGGGTCAGCTCACCTTCATAACAATGTTCTTCAGATATTCCAGGTTTTGGGCATGCTTTTCCCTCTCCTGGTTTCGCTCAAGGCGACGTATCTCCTCCTTCAGCACCCTGATCTGCTCCGTCATCCGCAGGTTGCTTGACTCAGACTCATTCAATAGCTGCATCATAGCAGAGCAAGAGAAAAAGTAGATAAGGTTCAACTCATCCGGTAACCAAGAAACATTGGAATAAAAGAAAACCCTCTACTCAATTACATCCAGCTAATCAGAAAAGAGTAAACTCTATTTTTCTTTAAAGCATGACGAGAAGCCAAAAAGAAGGGAACCCTCTTCCTTTCTGTGGAAAGTAGCTCAGAATACTGCCCCTTTTAGAAGAAAAGAAGGGGAGAAGGACGCTGCAAAAGAGCTCTCCGCTTGGCAGATGATGATTTTGTAGGTCGTTTTTAACCAAATGCTTTTACTTGAGGACAAACATGTTCAATGCTCTAAATCATGTCCAGTCAACCACATCATCCATTATTTGAAAGCAGCGAGGAAGAGAAAAAATTTCCCTGTAAACAGGCGCACATTGCTATACCTTTGGTGATGTGTGTGTTTCCAAGCAAAATCTGACTTTTTAAAACAAATATGCGAACCTGTAAAACTAAATTGTAGCTTTGCAAATCTCGAATCCTATGAACACATTACTAATCACCTTTGGTTATACAGCCGCCGACCAATTTTTTGGACGCTGATTTGTCAAGCACCTTCGATTATTCGGACGTTTTCACCAAACTGCCACAACCGATTTTTCGGACGCTGATTTGTCAAGCACGTTCGATTATTCGGACGTTTTCACCAAACTGCCACTCACCCCATTGAGTTAATGTATAACACTGTCCGAAATTTCGGCCGCCGTAAAGCTTATTTCTCGGTATTTCGAACAAAATTTGTGTGATTTCCTCAGTTTACAGCCACAAAGCAGCCGTTGCGATAGCACTGCGAACTTAGTTGCCGCCATTTTGGTTGTTTTGATTTTGCCCTGTAGCCTCGATATCACATCCTACGCAATAAACAAGCTGAGTGGAGGCTATAGTCTGGTTTTCCGGTTCCGCTACAGCCAACATGGCCGCCGTCTGCCCATTCTAATGGTTCTTCCAGTTGTTCTTGTGGTGCGTGTCTTTTAGGTGCGACCGCGAAAAGAGCAGCCGTTTGCCGTTCTTATGGTCTTTGAACGCGAAGGCTTTTGCCGATAGGTTTAGTATTAAACTGAGCTTGGTAAACTAAACATTGTCTCCAAACAGTGGCGAATGGCGCCAACTTCAACTTCGCTGTTTGTGCCAACGAAGGCGCTGACTAAGCGCAGCACCGTGATGAAACAGATAAACAAACAAGTGAAAAGTGAACAATATAAAGCGGAAGTTGCATGAGAACTTAGAAAGATAAAAAAAGTGGCTAAAACGCAGAGGAATATGCGCGGGAATTTGATAATTCGGCTGAAATGGATTTTTCGGACCAAATTGGTCGGCGACTGTATGAATGTTTTGTAGGCAATGACACCTTTTTATACAAAGATGTTTAACAGCAAAACAAAATTGTAGCTGTTGAAATTTGGTGTTCTATAGCCGACTTCGTCTTCACGAAGCGTAATACGATACAAAAACAGCTTTTGAGCCTCCTGCCCCGTCTGCAATTTCACTCATCATCTCAGTTTGGACCCTCCCATGTTTCTGGAATATTCTTTCCAATGTTTCCTTTCCAATTCCTCTCCCTCATACACACCACAAACTCTCAAAACTCTTTTTGCTTCAGGTCCCCCTTTTACTTAGTTTTCGCTGGAAACATTAACTTAGGGCCATTAACAAGTGTACAAAAGCATTACCTCTGCCAAATGGTCCACTTTTCTCTGTGCCTCGGTCACCTTTGATAGGAGAATGTCAGGATCGTCTGGAACTGCAGTGTGTGTAACAAAACAAGAAAGAAGTAATTAGGTAACATGCAAATTTAAAACACATAAAAAGGGAGAGCAGGGAGAACTCACCAGGATCTTCCTCGCCTCGCAGCAGCTGCTCAAGTGGAACAAATCCTCCAGTGGGCACGAGTCCCCATGGCAGAGGCTGCAAGAAGACAATTGTACGTAATCATGGGGATGGTCAATACCACGCAAAAATAAGACTAATGGTCAAAACTCAAATGGTCAGATACTGTATAAACTCGTGTAAGGGCTGCACTATTTTTTCCCGATTTGAGGGCAAATTTTCAAGCTGCTGCCCATACACGGATAAAAAAAAAAAAATCTGTATCCACATTTCGAAATGAACGTACATGAGCACGCTCGGCTGCACTGGTCTGCTCTGATTGCACAAAAAGGCAGACAAATCACGATGCTTTGACACGAATCGAAGAACAAAAGAAAACCTCCCCAGAGCGTACAGTGGCGTTCAGAAACCTGAGTGCACGCACGAGCCAAGCCCGCTGAATTTCTATTCCTCGCGCTTGCCACGGAAGCTGACATATCCTTTACCTTTTCTCAATGTCTTCCGGCCGCAACATAAACGCATACGACGCTGTGGCCGACCACGATCGAGGTCGGCAGCCATTGTGCCATACGGTGATACGGATGAGTGGAGAGAAAATATCGGGGATGCGGATGAGTGGAGAGCAAATATCGGGGATGCGGAGACGTGCCGCTACGTGCTCGGGCGGTGGCTAGTGCCTCCTAGCGATATATATTCATAGAAACTTTCATGCATTACAGTCGGCGCGCCTCAAAAACAAGGAGGTGCGGCGCACACACAAATAATTTCTCCAATTTTTTTTTTTTTTTGCAATATTTTGTTTTAAATACGGGGGTGCGGGTTTACACGCGATTATACAGTACTGTGGTTGTATCTCATTCATATAAGCAGCTTAAGACACTTTTCAAATTGCTTTGGAACATTAGTTCACTGACCAACAGAGTCCAACTGGAAGCTTGTCGAGCTCTTTTTGAATGACAGTGTAAGAAGAGGATGGTTTATTTGGCATGGTACACCTTATTTGTAATGTGGAGAAAACTGAAAGCATGCAATTATAGATTCCTATATTTCAGTTCAACTTAAAGGGGCCCTGCAATCATATTTAAGCCTCTACCTTTTTTGCGGTTTCCGCGTCTCTTGGGGTTCGGGCATGCCAGCGGGCACGGAGAGAGTAACTAAATATCAGTGCGTCATATTTTAACCGGACGACGCGGAAACCTCATCCACCGACGAGGGCGACCCGCGGTATCGAAAGCGCGCAAAATGTGACGTCTTTGGTCCTGGGCTTACTACTGGTCAGAGCCGCTAAAAGCTTCTTTTTAGTCAAAATACAAAATATAAGTGGCGCGAACTGTTTCAATTATTTATAAAAGTAGTTTGTGTCCAGTATTTTAGATAAAAAAAAGAAACGAATGCAGTTTAGAAAGTACGGAAACAAGAAATGACCCGTCGACATACCCGCCACCAAGTGGTGGAAAAGGCAGAGCATACTAGAAAGGAGTAGTGGGATCAGGCGCCGACACGGAAAGGTCTTGGATGTACGCGGCGGCGCTGCGGTCGTATGGGCAGGAGGATCCGACCGGCTCCGAGCGTTCCGAAGGCCTTCGGCGAGAAGCTCTGTCTTGCGGTTTGGCCATTTCGCGGTATGGCAGCGCAAAGTAGCTCCCATTCTGAACTGATTTTTATCCCGTGCTTGCTGTCGTTTGTGGCAAATGAAGTGTCATGCCGAATTAGTATTTAATCGCGCAGCAAATGCAATGAGAGCCTCTCTGGCTGCCCGCTGCATACAGCCTATCCAGAACACGCTTTAATGGCGCCCTCTCACGCCGTCGACACGGAATGCGGCAGCCGAGAGCACTCGATGAGCTCACTACTTCACCTCTAGTTCACGGTCACTCTCAAGCAACCAAGGACGTCACAAGGGAGGTTATTTTTTGCTTGCTTTTTTAATTTTAATTTGCCTATAAATTTTTAAAAAAAAAAGGGGAATTTCGAGAAAAGAAAAGTTTCACTAAGTTACTACGTTCAGTGCGCTCAGGTTCGGTGCAAATTAAAAATTAGTAAAAAAGTGATTGCAGGGCCCCTTTAAAGTGCATGTAGAACTAGAAATAAAGTGAATGTATTGCTTTAACCTCATCTTGGCTGTTGCACGCACGAGAGAAGCTGCCAGAGCAAAGAGTAATGGTGAACATGTTCACACGACAGATCTTTCTCCGTGGAGAAAACCGAGTACAGGGTGTCCCCCAATAATATTTAGAGGGTTTCTTCCACCGCAAAAAATAAGCTAGGCATCGCCGAATGCTCATTCTCCGCCCGAAGGAAGTGCTAAAGGTCCGAACAACATGCCAAAGTTTCAGTGCGAACCAATATTTTATTCAAAAGTTATAAATGAATTACTGAAAATGTAAATGACAATGGGAAAATTTTCCCATTGAAATTTTCAGAAAATCCCTTGCAACTTTCCAATAAAATATTGGTTCGTGCTGAAACTTTGGCATCTGGTATGGAACTCCAGCGCTACCTTTCGGCGGAGAAGAGCGTTCGGCCACGCATAGTTCATTTTTGCGGTGAAAAAAACACCAAATTTTTTTGGGGGACACCCTGTACATCATAAAGCTGCGAGAGTGAGGAGGCAGTTTAGAAAATTTGAATGAGTATCTGCACAACAAATTCGCATCTAGTTAAACCGGCGGAGTCTTTTTTTTTTTTTTTCGTGAATGTGTTTGTGATCTTCACAGGCTTGTTTAATAAAAGGCAGGGAAAAAAGCGAAGGAAAAAGGCACCCACAGCTTCATGCTGTTGGCCGTAATCTTTCCCTCGAAAGAAAAGAGATCAATTGCACTGAAGGGACGACGGATATTCTGTGGGCCGTTCGCAGATTCTCCGCTGCTAGCTGCGGGCTTGGGGGATTAGCGAAGATACGTGACACGGCACACATGCTCAAGACTTCACGACGTTCAATCCCCACCTCGGACAAAAACTCCGCCGTGCAAATGCACCACAGGCAGATATTGAAGTTTTGGCAAGAGAATAGGTTCAATCTTTAGACATTCAAGGTTACTGCACAAGCAATGCTACAGTGCAGGATAGTTGTGGTACTCGGGGCTTGGGAAAAGCTTATGAGTGCACAAGAATGTGGAGGTTTTGCAAAAAAAAAAAAACAGCGGACCATGCCCCAGTCACACACCACAAATAGGAATAGCCACTTAATTGACAAATTATATGAATCATCCATCAAAAGGTAAAAGGGAAGTATTCACAAAACAGCCTGGGTGGCTTTTAGTGGGTGACACTTTTATGTTCCAAGTCAAATCAAACAAAGTCTCCACTAGTCAGGAGTTGCTAAAAGGAACAGCCTAGCAAACACTACATTTAGTTTCACAGCATAATTTCAAATGGCAAAAGCTATGGTCCCTGTGAGCCAATGAAAGTGGGGGAGCAAGACACATTACAATACACTGCCAAAGTTCAATCTGAGAGTGTTGCCACATGCTCCACTTCAATGCTCTTAATGATTTGTAGCTTTCACCCCTTGCCAAGTTACGCTGAAATGGATTATATGAACAGCCACATTCCCCCAGTCTTAAGAACACATTATCATCAAATTACCAACAAAATAGGTTTTCCTCAGGAAATTATTTGAATTAGTCAATCAAACTAAACATCCTTATATGCAAAAGGATTGGATGCTGACTGACAGCTATTCCTGTGTTTAGCACTTGTTGCTTTGTGGATGCAATGTTCCTATTTTGGGACAAGAAGCTGGCGTGTGGAAAATTAAGAAACTCCTTTAACTTGTCAACTGACCTTTGCAGGAATTGCTGGGACAGGTGAGATGGACTCCGAACCCTGTACAAAAGAAAGCGACCATAAAGAAGTGAAATCACAAGTAGACAAGAGAACAATCAAGCATTAGCTGCAGGTATCCCAAGGCTTGTTATCATAACCACCTCAGTCTGCATTTGTGACATACCTCTCCATCTTGCCTCTCCTGTGTAGTAATGTCGAACGGGACAACGTCATCCTGCTGAACAGTTGGCAATTTTTGCTGAAGTTCTGACATTTCCCTTTTAAGCTCCTCGAAGGCTTCTTGTTGAGACTCCAACGCGGACTGATGCTCCTGCTCCTTCTGTGAAATTTTTTTCTGTAAAAAATGTATATATTTTTTATATTTTTTATAATAGCCTTTAAATAAAGGGCCATTTCAGTCAAAAGTTGACGAGTACTTAATTTTTTGAAAAGTAGAGAAACCACAACATATTGACATTTAGTGCCTTGTTGATTTTACCCCTACTCGGTGCTACTAAAAAATAAAAGTTTTGCACAATATTTACATGCTGCACAAGGTACTAGTTAACACAATCTGGTTGTTGAAGATAAAAAACAATGCTCTTCATGTTTGAATTGTGTAATTTTTAATAAAAAAAAACACAAAAACTTATCTTCAAAGCACATACAATCATCTCAATTCACCACATAAAAAAAAAATTAGTAACAATCGTCAGAACCCAAACTTTTTTAGTGTGCTTCTTGAAGTGAAAACTTGAATGGTAGAGCAAAACAGTGGAATATCACAAATCTGAGCTTCTAAAAACAGAATGGAAAGTTGGGCTAGTTAGTGCAGTGCTACGAAAAGAAAAGCACTAAAGAAGGGCGAGACAAACAAAGAGCAAATATCAATTGAACTTTCAGTTGACAGTAGCGCTTTGCTTGCCTCACCCTTCTTGTCTCGTTCTCTGGCGCTTTTATTATTATTCTAAAAAAATTTTTGTAAAGCTATTTCCCTCACTTCCCTTGCAAGCTTCAAAAACCATAACTGCAACGGCTCAAACTTTATGAAATGGTAAAATTAACACGGGGTCTTTGAGTTCTTAAGTGTGCCCAACTTTGTCTCATAGGCAACTTTGCGTTGGCAAAAGAAAAAGACAAGCACAATTGCACCTATCAGTTAATAGTGATTAAAGCGTACGGCACAAACAGATGGGACAGAAGAGAGAAGATACACAATCGCTGATTGTGTGTCTTCTATTTTCTGCCTCATCTGTTTATGCTGTATATTTTAATCATTGTGCTTTACCAACACACTCAAGCTTCCCTTCTGAACAGTTCGTAGTGCTGATATGTGTTCCAATCATGTGAACATTGAACTTATGCAATAAAACCAACTGTGTTAGAGAACTGCCAACATGTGTAGAGAAGGATGCTGGGTCAGCTGTGCAGCAGTCTTCAATGTATTCAAGGGGTCATTCATTATGAACCTGCTTGGCTTGTTTAGAATTTCTGTTTACTTCAGTTCTCCAACTTTTATCTAAATACAGTTTGTGACAATATACTTCCAGCTCAACCAATGCAGAACGAACATATGAATGAGACCCTTGCTCTAACTCAAGCACAAATCCTGGCTCAATACCAAGAAAAACCTAGTGACAAAAAAAGTAAAACTGAATGTGAAGGGCTGAAACTTAAAATCATCTGAGGATGGCATACCTGAAACTTGGATGACAAAGTTTCATACTGCTGCTCCAGTTGCTTCTCCAGTTCAATGCCCATTTCCAAAGTTTTCTGCTTCAATGCTTCTTCCAACCTGCGAGAGAAAATAAAAGTCACTAAAGTATGGTGATCCGAATTACCGTATTTATGCGATTCTAAGCACTCCCCCCTCTTCCCCCCCCCCCCCCCCCTCAGTTCTCCAGTCACGACGGTAAAAAAAAATTTGCACGATAATGTAAGCACCTCCATTTTTTGCAACCAAGCACTGCTGCACAAGAGCATAGCAAGACTTACAGATTGCCCTATGCTCAGTTTCAACACCGGTGGATAGATGAAAAATAGAAACGGATTTTGCGCTAAGACGTCATACAATGATAAGTCAGAAGCTGCCCCTTGATTGTGAAGAAAAGCTGGTGAAATTTCAACAGTACATGTTGAAGCTGCGAAGGGAGTCTCACTATGCTCTTGGTCAAATTGGCAACGCTGACGAGACTTCGTTGTATATCGATCTGCCAAGGACGTCTACAGTGAATGAGGTCCGTGCCTGGGAAGTTCCCGAACATTTGGCTACAAAAAACATGTCACGGTAATGCTATGCGTTACAGCTGGCGCTCGAAAGCAACCTTCACGTATACCATTCTGAAGCGAAAGAACGAGCCGAAAAATGAAACCATTGTGAAAGTTTAACAGAAAGGCTGGACGACTAGTGACCTCATGCTCGACTGGATTGCAGTTGTTCGGAAGCAACGCCCAGGAGCATCACTCGGCACACCCAAGGGAACAAAGTCGATGCTCGAGCTCGATGCGTTCCGTGGCCACCTCAACCCGGAGGTGAAAAAAAAGCTCAGAGGCTGGAACTGCGATTTGGTAGTTAAACCAGGCGGGATGACGCCGATACTGTAACCACTTGTAACAGCCGTTCAAGATGAACTTGTGGCAGGAGTACGAAGGCTGGATTTGGAATCCCATCCGGAAAAAGACGCCAACAGGAAGGCTGCAGAAAGCCTCTGCATCAACCGTCGCGATGTGGATATCGAACGCATAAAAGAGGGTCTGACCCAAAGTCGTGGTGAACTTGTTAAAAAAACGTTGAATCACCAACCGCTTGGACGGGTTTGAGGACGACGTCGTGTCGGACACAGAGAGCAGCGCGAACGGCAGCTCGAGCAGTGGCAGAGGACTCGCCGTCAAGCACGTCGAGTGACAGCGAGCGAGCGTGATGGATGGCAAGAGGACTGTAACTTGTTTCTGTTTGTTGTAATTCCTGCGTACTATTTACTTTTGCATTGCAGTAACATAAACTCGTATTTCTATTGTAAAATTGGTAAGATTTGGCATTTTTTGAATGTGGGCACCCCCCTACGTGTGCATCACGGGCACGAAAAAAAAGGGATGCTTAGAATCGCGAAATATGGTGTCACTACAAAAAAGATAGAACTGTGTAAATATGGTACTGCTGCAAAACAGCCCTTTTACCTTAGCAGTGCTGCTTCCATTAACATTTTTTGAAATCCGCATCATTAATGGGGGTTGGCATACTACTACTCAAAAACCGCAAGAAAGGTGTAGAAGACTCGGTGTGGGTTAACACTGTCTAATTTCAAAAATAGATCTGAAATTGAACACTGATGTTAAACTCTACGCTGGCTCGTGCGATGCCATACGTTGTTACTTGGCAACTGATGCATGGGTGGTAATAGGAAGCCCAACACACCCGTGAGAGATGCGTTCCAGCCACCATACCTTTGCGATTTCTTTAGACCGCGAAAATAAGTAAACGTTCGGCGCGCGTGAAAAGTGGACTGACGATGCCGACCTGTGTTTCCACTCTCGCTCCCGGGCCTCGAGTTCCGACGCGACGAGCTGGTGGCGCTGTGCGAGCCTGTCGTACTCCTCCTGTGCCGCCTCAGCCTCCGACTGTCCCACCTCCAGCTGCTCCGTGAGGTCCTTGATCCTCAAGCGCAGCTGCTCAATCACCGAGTGCATCTTCTCCTGGGCATCCGAGTCGCCGCCAGATGCGTCGCCGCTAGGGGCGGTGCTTTTCTTTTGCTGTTTCAAGACCGTGTGAACTCGCACCTGCGGGTTAAGTTGACTCGTCTGTTGCACAAGCTCCGCAAGAAGTCATTATTTCCTCGCTTGCAACCGCTTTCAACACTTTTCGTTATTTCCGACCCTTGCTAGTCATTCTAGGTGTTCCCTTTGTGGAAGCCGAAAATAGAAGATCGTTCGGGGCCAAGACGAAAGAGAAACTTTGAGAACCTTTCTACAAGTGTTTTAATCTTTTGTAAAGTGGGAAGGGAAAAGCTTAAAATTAGGGGCACTCAGGAAAGTGTCATAGAAAATTTTACTATTAACAGCTTCACAATGGGAGCGACATCTAGCCAAACACGAGTATACCCTTTCATAACACTTAGGTAAGTGCAACAAAGCTTTTCAACCCCTCCAGCTGCCTGCTTTCAGTGCGAATGACACTGTAGTATTAGTTTATTTTTTTCTTTTCGATTACACCTTGCAGTGCTTTTCTTCAAAAGCTAAATGCCTGAAAATAAGCAGTAATGGGGCAACGCTTTGCCACCTTCCTTAGTCTTTTAGACGAATTGCAACCAGCAATTCCTAACTTCCTTGCAACAGTCTGGAACTACATGGCTATCTTCAAAGAGCCCATATTATAAAAATGAAACAAAACACACACACAAAAAAAGAATGGCAGTAAAACAAACTCAACAGGCCTATAGTGGAAATAAAATGCTCATCTGCAAATGGTCTGCTGTACTTGTCTTACATAAAAACTAGGCAAGGGAAATTACATTTTGGGCTTTGTTTTATAATATTGGTTGCCTTTTCCCACATATTTACATTGTTCAAACACAAGTCAACAAATTTAGTAGTTTTACTTTAATTCAATACACTACTATTCATCTTAATTGTCCTTTGTCCTCTAATCTTGTGGATTCTCTGCAGTGGCATACCCTGGGTGTGGCACCACATGAGCGCATGAGTGGGGGCCGAGTAGCCAAGGAGGATTCCCTGAGCACGGCGTAGGACTAAGGAGACTTTGCGACTGCACTCAGTTGAGTATAAAAAGAGAAGAAACTGTGCAAATCGACTGCAAGACGTTGTAGGCCAATTCGATTCAGTGAAATCAAGAAAAGCTTAGAAGCTTTGTCTTGGTTTTTATGCAGGGCCATGATGTATTCATTTCTGTATTATATTTGTTCCGAAAATAGTCGAAGGTGGCAAATAAAATGTCGGAAACCTAAAGAGCACTTTTGGGCTGCCGCTATGTCAGTAGGTTTTTCTAAGCGCCTTTACAATGTATCAAACTGTTAATGTACCCACTTTTTTTTTTTTTGCGTGGTTCAAGGTTATTTGGAACTAAATCATTTTCTAAAAGTCGAGTACTTTTTGGCTTTTGCCACAAAATATGGGCATTAGGCAAGGATTATGAGGTGGTTTGACAGAAGCTTATTTTGTTTGGTAGCTTTTGTTATGCGAGTGTTCAATACAATGCACGCAATGAAATGAACAAGCTGTAGCCTGCGACACAGCAGTACACTTTGTGAAAACTGGGGTTTTTGCACAAATCATTACCATTATCATCAGGGGTGCAAATAAAATCTACTTGCAGTGGGTGCCATCACCCCAAGGTACGCCACTGATTATCTGCGTATGAAGCACGGCAGCTGATATGCATGAACTGCGAAGTCATAACTACTGTAGCTCTAAACATCACTACAGCACTCTGGTTTTTGTACTCGTAGCTCTGCCTGCCAATATGGCATACAAAGTCACGTTTCCCAAAACGAGTTTCAATGAACACAACAAACCTTGTAGTTGTCGAACTCTGCCTTGGTGGTTTCTAGTTCGCTCTGTGTTGTTGCAAGTACTTCCTTGAGGGACGCTATTTTTGACTCCAGGGTCTTGGTAGCCCTTTGGTGGTTCTCCCTTGAGGAGCGAAGGCTCGCTTCTAGGCTCTGGCACTTTCTTGAAAGCTCAGCAAAGCTCAACTGGAAAAGGTTCAAAGGACGTGCTTATAACCTTCCAAATTTAAGGGTAGGCAGGCAGACAAACTCCATATACTGCAAATGGTGAATATGTCCAACCTAAGTTTTCTGCAATCTTTGTATTTGCCAGAAAGTGTTAAAGGGACACTGACACCCCCCCAAAATTTTTTTTTATTTTTTGCCAGGCGTTTCATTATGGTGTCGGAGGACTACCCAATTAATATTTTGCAACAGAGTAGCGTATTTTTTTCATAAAGCCAAAAGACGCAACTGCTCGAAACCGAAACCGAAACCCGACGGAGGTCGGAGAAGTGGAGAGAAGAGAGTGAGTGGCGGAAGTCACGTGGCTACACCTGACCGTGCGGTTTTTTTTATTTATTTTTTTTATCTCCTCTCCGGTAGCAGACGACACGACATCCGGCGTGCGATGCGGCGTGCGATGCGGCGTGCGGGAACTGCTCGCCGTGCGTTTCTTTTGCAGTTATGTTTGTTCCGCTCGTTGTTCTGTACTCCAAGAAGAGTTGTTTTGTACATTGAGGAGTTGGAGATGAGTAGTGAGTGCCCGTGGTGAATTTCCATGATCGGCTCCGAAAAGAATACACCCAAGATGTTGCGTGAAGAGCTGGCTCACATGTCCTGCATCCGAAAAAAAGTGGCATTGTGCGACAGAGTTTCCGAAAAATCAACGGGATCGGGACCAATGGCTGGCTGCAATTCCTGTAGAACATATACGGGCACCTCGGAAAGCGGACGCTACCTGATTTATATGCTCCTTGCATTTTGTGGAAAGTGATTACATTGAGTTCGCAGGTGTCAAAACGGAAATCCCATACCATTTAATTCAGCGAAGTATCGTCCACAACATTTGTTTGTTATCTTTTTGTTTGTTTCTTCAGTGATGATTGTAAAAAAAAAAAGAAAAAGATATGTAAACATCGGAAAATGTTTGAAAATAAAAATAAAGTTACACGGGGGATCGAACCCGGTCCTACCGCGTTTGAACTGGACGTCTTTCCCACTGAGCTACTGGACATCTCTTTTGTAGTGGATCTCTTTCCTTCATAATAATTCAGCCGGTAAACTGTAAGTTGGAAAGTTTGCTGTCGATTTTTCTCTAGCAAAAGCACTCCCGGGTCAAAGTCGGGAAGCACCACGCTTTGGGGACATTCGCACCTAGTGAAGAAATCGTACGCGTGCATATTCAACTTGAAGTAGACACGCCGTGCTTGACGTTTGTGCGAGCGATGTCTTCAGCCACGAGAAGGGAGCGACGGCTCGGCGACGTCTTCGCACAAATCGGCTTGGTGGCCGGGCGTGTCGTACGGGATGAATACCAATTCTTTTGATCAGTCCCAAATTTCTCTTTTAAAGGCAGAAAAAATTCGCCGGTACCGCGAACGACAGTTTTGAAATAGAGGTCCCACGCCCGCCGTCCGCTGCCATCGCCGTCCCCGCGAGTCCCACGATACGCGAAACGACGAACGCACAGAATGCTTCCGGTTGTCTGTGGAACTTCTTTTTTCAATCAACGTATTTACAGCTTTTTAGAAGCCACAAAAAATGGGTTTCATATTTTTTTCTATTTTTAATATTGAGTGTGTGCCTTCAGTGACCCACGACTTTGATTAAATTTGGTGGTCGCATCGATACCTTAGAAAACGGCCCGTGACCGTGGAAAACAGAGTGAGCGAGACTCGAACCGGCCAGTTCTTGATCGGCAGTTTTCGGGCGGAAAGAAACCGAATTTCAAGCCGCAAATTCTGTTCTGGGTAGTTGAGCTCTCATATGTCACGTACAACTAAAAACCTCGGCGAGCATAAATACCCTGTCAGTGTCCCTTTAAGTACACACTATAAATGACTATATTATGCAGATATCCGATAGTTGCAAATTTTGTAAATAGAAAATGGCTGATTGAGAGTTATCACGCAGATTCCTCGGTCACGCATGGCATGAAGCCAAAAAAACCCCAGATTATAAAATTTTTATTTCAGAAAATATTCTAAGACATCAAACTAAAATAGTTCGATAGTTCGGCTAATAATCAACAAAGTTCACCCAGCGGCACATTCGCTTTGCGCATGGCACAACAATCACTGTTCTGATGTTGCGCAAAAGAGTGGATGCCGTCATGTGAATTATGTTGCTCTTTCACAGCATATTCAATCCATAGAGTCCAACTGTGCATGGACATCAAACGTGGCAACTAGGCCCCCCCCCCCCCCCCCCCCAAAAAAAAAATAACACAAAGCTTGGACAAGTTACTCTACAACACAAATGCGCAGCATGAAACATGCCAGGCGTGTCCCTAACAAAGGCGACAGATTTGGGCGTTTTGTATTTGGACCAGTGGTCACTGCATACGACAGACAAATTTGTAGCCATAGTGGCTACACATATTTTCATAAAAGGTTTAAACTTTAAATACATTTCATATGTTACAGCGAGTCAGGTCCCTCAAAACTGCAAGACGAGGTTTAGATTCGTGAACATTACAAAACATTTGGGAGAGTCGGCAGATATGCGTAGTTGGGAGTACGAGAAAAGGCAACAGACAGTGTGAAAGAAGATGCATGTACTTGGCCCCAGATCACTGAAACATGCAGATAAAAGGAGGCAGAGACTGCAAATAAGAAAAGAATTAGGCTCAGTCACGCACCAAAGAAAAGCGGTAAGCAAGAACCTAGAAGAGACATTCAGTGCAAGCACTGCAAATATTAGTCTGACAGAGAAATTGTAAACCTATTAAACGTTAAACAAGCGATTCATGCGAAACAATAAATGCAAGACCTAGTGAAAGCAACAGAGGAGAATAGAACAAAGCTCCAAAAATGCAACTGTGTTATTTCATTTAGGATGGAGGAAAAATATTGAAAATATGAAGTAACTCACGCAGAATGTGAAAACAATGTGAAAGCTATTTAAAGGGATAATCCGGCTATTTTTGCATGGTCGCTGATTAGCCTCAAAATTTGTTCGACACACCCGTAGGCATGGCTGTACCAGTTCCCCAAGTGTTAATTGTGTGAAAAGAAAAACATTTCGCAAAGTTATTGAATTTTCTAATTTCGTTTTCATCGTCTTTCTCGAACCAGGAGTCCCTACTGGCAACATTGAAGTGCGACGACAGAAATGGTACAAAGTGGGCTGTAAGCCATGTTTCCAACTGATTCCAAGACGTTTGATGGTGGGAAAAGAATACTTCGTAGCTGAATCACTGAGAAGCATGCGAAAAACACTCGACACACTCTGTTTAAGACTACCTGCGCCGCGTGGGCTAGCGCACACCAGCTCGGAGCACGTGGAGCGAAAGCTCGCGCTGCAGAACCCAGGGATCCTGGGTTCAATCCCCACCCCTGTCCGTTTCGATCTGGATGAGCATCGTACACGCTAGTGGTTGTACTGCACTGGCTAAATTGCTCATCTACAGCTGGGAGACTCGTCGCCCGTTGGGGCAGACCGAGTTCTAGGCTGTATAAACATCCACGCAACACAATTTCTTTTTTAAGACTACTACCTGCGCGACCTGAAAGTCTGTACCATTTGTGACGTCACACCACTGGAGAAAACACGGAAATTTTAATCTTGGTTTCGACATCATCTTCGTTTATGGATTTCTCAATTGCTATTTTGAATTTCGAGAAAAAAAAATAGCACACCGTGAAGACTAAAGTCCGGGTAGTCAGAAAGGGCAATTTTTCGGGGTAGCTCAGAAAACGGCCAGAGTACCCCTTTAAAAGTCATTATAAGTGAGTTTAATAAGTGCATGACAAAGGAGAAACGTTCAAGACGCAACAACCATGCCGAGGAGAAAACAAGGCCTACACAGAAAGAATTATCAAGAACAGAGGATCTCAAAATGCTCCAGTCGGGACGCCATAACTGGATCCATCTTGAGGTGAATACATATACATGAATTTTGACAGGCTAACCCCTGATTACAATATGCGAATGCACTCAGTGTGGCTTTACTGCCATCACTCCAGTCAATACGTGGTCAATATGATCACGAGTCCACAGAGCTAACCTTATATACTAGCCAAGGTACGATACAGCAAGCTGCTGCCTGGTTTAAAAATTCCAGATTTTGCAGCCATTCAATTACTATCACAACGGTTACCAGACAACTTTCTTTATATTGAATAAAATGGGATGACATCGGCCAAAAAGAGTACCTACTACATGCTCTTCTGTTGAGCGGAAAGAAAATTATGTGAACTGAATGAGACACTTCTCTTGAGAGAATGGAAATACAGCAAGGTGCAGTATGAGTTTTCTCAAACTGCTTGTTCTAATTTAGAAGACTAGTATAATAGATGTATATAAAAATAGTTCCCTTCTTTAAAGCGCAACTTTGATTCATAGTTTCGATTTTGGGATTACGACTCTTTTTAGCGCAGTCAGTGTGCCTGAATTACAAGGTGTAATTTTTTTTTCAGTGTTGTGCATAGTTTTAAAGATATTGATGCTTTAAGGTTTTGTATGGGGTACAATCGACAAAACCGAAACTAGCCGCTCGAAGCGACGACAACACTGGAAATCAGCTGCTAGGTGGACGTGACGTCATGGTCGTTCTCGTCCCTGCATTGTTCTCATGTAACGAGTAAGCTGTCCAAGTGGCACCTACCTCTGTTGAGCTAGCTGTTCTTGGATACGTTGCCGGTAACTAGTTATCTTTTCAGTAACTTTTAACTGTAACTCATTACTGCTTAGTGAAAAGAACTTCGAACTGTAACAAAGTCACTATTTTTGGAAGTAACTGTAAAAAATAACGTCGTTACAGTTACTTCTCAGATTTTTGTGCAAAAATATTGCAAACACGCCCACCAAATCGTCTCGCAACTCGTGAGAGTCCCAAGTCCTGGTACTGGAAGGGCACGGCAAAAACTGCTGCAGAAAACGTCTGGGGCAGGAGGGGAAAAAATAAAAATGTAAAGAAACTAAATTTTGGGTGACCCTGCTTGGCCAAGCTCGTACCACCAACTGGGAGGATGGGGACGTTTGTGTCTGCACCAGCCATATAAGGTACATCGCCCATAGCGCATACAGATGTAACAAAGTGCGGCATATATAAAGCGTTTTCTTTTCTTCATCAGGCGGAAGGAGCGAGTTTTTTTTGCCGAAGACAGCTTATGGCGATTGTCGCCCCGAACGCCCGCAGGCTTACGGCACAACCGATTTTCCGAACCTCGTCTTCTTCCCGCAAAGCGTAAATTTCCTTCACCTCTCATTTAAATCGTCCGAATTCCAGATGCACTCTTGCAGGGTGTCAACTTCAAGCCCATTTTCTCTCCTTTTCTTTTTTTAACAACCCAATTACCGGCCTCGCTGCCCGTCCCCCACTTCTTGTCCTTCCTCGGGTCCAGTCACTTGAGAAAGAGTGTTCGCTCGAAACATCTGTGTCGTCCTGCTTGTCTTTGTGTTTTCTCGAAATTGAAAGACTGCCTTTAGTCGAGCCCAGGGGCATATGGCATCAGATGATTTATAGATATTCACGTCGTGGGCTTTCCGGGTGGTTTCTTCTATTTCGGGTGGCGAGTTTGAGGAGCAAAAGCATGTTCGATCTGGTTAGGAAGTGGCAGAGAAAAGATTGTAACAGCCGTTTGGAATTGTAAACGCAGTGGTTGTCTGTACCTCAATCAGTGCTTACTTTGTCGGAGGAATGTTGCCACAACATTTCTCTCCAAGTGTTTCATGAAAGATTGCGTGCGCACAGTAGGATACGATTCGACCGACGAGTGGACTGGAGTGGCATAAGAAAACATCCACAAAGCTGATGGCAAGGTATGACTTATATTATTGTTGACTTCACATTTGCACGATTTTTTTGCTTCCGTCCGATTACACCTCATCAAAGAAATTCAAAATTAAAATTGGCTGATTGTGGACTGGCACCCTGATTGGATATATACAAGATCCAGATGCCTGCTGTTGTGTTTGTGTATACCTTATGGTGGTCGCACTCATTTCAAAGTTCTTAATAAACCAGGGATCTAGCTCCTATGTTAAAAATTAGAAAAACTAAAGTCACCTTTAATGTGCCAAAGAAGAGACTCTAAATTTTTTATCATATTGTGAATTTACTTGGATACTGCCTTAAATTATGATCTTGTTCAAGGAGCCATTCATGGTAAAAATCAAAATAGGAAGAACCGAACATGCTAATATTGATTATTAAGAAAATATTAGTTTCTTCAAATAATCAGATTCACTACTGTGAACAACACAATGTCTTATAAAAAATCTAAGCTAATTTAAAGGCATATAAAAGAACGTTCCTTTTTAATGTTTTCTTATGTTTCTTTGCAAAGTCTTTGCAAAGTAACGAAGAAAGTAACGGCATTGCTTTAGCAAAGTAACTGTAACAAGTTACCTTTCATGTAACAGGGTTACTTTGTGCCTGAGTAACTGTTACATTTTGGCAGTAACGTGTCCATGACTGCAGCTGGGCCAGTCCTTCTGACACCATGATGCACGCATTGAGTTGCTCGCTAAAACGAGCCTTGGAATCCTCAGAGGCAAATAAACAAAAGGCTATACTGAAGCTACACGGGCTACAGATAAAAGCAATGGCTAAACACGCCAATCACCAGCCGAAGTAGCGGCGGTAGCAGCTCAAAGAAGCGCACTTTACACCGCTCGACCGTGCAACGGGACTGAGGGAGAAAATTAGAACGACCATGATGTCACGACCCAATGCTGCTTTAGCTATCAGTAACCCGCTGACGGCCCGCTAAGGAGCAGCAGTTTGCAACGACTCGCATTTGTATTACCGGCATTAGTTGGGAATGCGGCATCCCCTTAACGTAACATTTTGGCTGGGGTTGTATTTTGTGTCACTAAAGCGATCCCGGTAATTTATTTCCTTTTAAGTTTTGGCCAGAGTTTCCCTTTAAGTGATCACAACAGTTTTCACGAATTCTGATACATACATTAGGAACAAGAGCCAGCGAGAGAGGGAGCTCACCTTTGTCTCTTCCTCCCGCAGCTGGATGGCCCTGATTTCTGATTCGAGCCTCACCTCGGCGCGCACCAGTTCTTCCTCGTGCCTACGACTCTGGGCCAGTTCCTCCTTGAGGTTGGCCACTGTATCCTTGAAGGCCAGCAGCCGCTCGTCGTCAGACTTCTTCTGGCTTTCCAGGTATCCTGAACAACGAAAGCAAGTTGCGGCCTGTTTTGAACATTCTTGACAAGATTCTTTTACATAGAATATGTTTGGGGTCGTTCAATGTCCACTAAATGGACCCTTTCAAAGGTTTGTGCCATCGCCTGTCCGCCGTTGCTTGTTCAAATACTCTGAGCACGTATTAATCACGAGGGCAGCGTCAATGTCCGGCAAGGATTTGGATCCAATTACACGCTTCGTGTCCAAACAATAGCGACCGCCAAAGTAGCTTGATGGACTTTCGAGAAGGGTCTATTTGGTGGGCAATGTCTTGTCCCGCAAAATTTAGCTTAAAAATTTTAATGCAAAAGCATTAACTGCCCCATGGAGCGAGCCGACGTCATGAGCCGCGCCAAATGGCAGATAAAATCTCGAAGCTGTAATCCAAGGCATTCCAGCTTTGAAACCACGCAAAAAGCCACGCAAAACGGCAGTGAAACGAAGCCGAGGCGCGTCAACTGTCAGTTTGAATTAGCGCCACCCTATGGCGCTGCGTGCCCGTGCTGCTGGCAAAAGGAACGGCTGGCCACTCTCCGCCCAAGCGCGCCAGCTGATTCCTGCATTTCGTCGATTTCGTGCTGCCAGCACGGCTGATGTCAGCGAGGTGCGGCAACTTCACGAGGACATGCGCAAGAATGATGTTCATGCTTTCGCATTCACAACTCATAAGAAGTGTTTAGGCATACCTCGAGTCTTTTTGTACCAAATTTAGTGCCAAACATACATTTTGTCGTTGCACTTTCGCACATCGCTGGAAACCAGCAGTGCAAGCATAATCTATGTTAAAAAGGAATTGTCAGTTTTTCAGTTTTTCACACTAGCACACATCCAGTCTGTTAGACTGCTGGCTATAATTTGTTGAAACATAACGATTGCAGGCTAAAAAAAACAATGCTCTGCTCAATGCCCAATGTGGCAAGGCACACATTGGACTCCAGGCAGAGATTTATTTTGTGGGCCCCAGTCTCGAAAAAAAAGGGTGCTGACAAAATGTTCTCCCTTTCCATGATGTCTAAAAATTAATGCGCTCCTATAGAGTGCCCTGGAATTCAGGTGCAGAGCCACTTCTTCAGTTCTTATGTTGCAAAAGACCAGCTGTGGTCAAAAATAAAAGTTTTTGCCTAGATAGTCCGGACTCAGTGCATAGTCCGCGCTTACTGGTGCCCAATCCGAACGTAAAAATTATAGTACACAGCAAACTTTGACAAATGCCTGTTTTCTTAGTTCACCAAAGAAGCTTGTATCATACATAAATCAACATGAATATACACTGTTATTCATGAAATCCTTCACGTCTTATCACTGTAAACAATCTAGAAAAAAAAAATCCTTGTATAGTCCAGACCTGTAGACAGTCCACACCAGGTAAAAGTTTAGCCTTTAAACATGTATAGTCTGCGCTGCATACTGTAGTCCGGAAAGTATGGTATATAGCAGGGGTGGTCAGGCTGACCCAGCCTGAGAGCCGCAAACAAAACCGCGAAACTTCCAAGAGCCGCAAGGGGGGTCAAACTTTTGTCCAGAGCAATAAACGAAATTTAAACTACTTTCAATCTATCCGAGTCAAAAGCAGTCAAACTGCACGTATAAGATAGCTGTAGCACAAGACTAACAAACTGCAACCTATCTTTCCATTTAAAACGCGTTCCATTTCCCCTTTTGGGGAAGTGCTCGTGTGGCCGGGAGGAAGGCGGGGAAGTGTGTGTGTGTGTGTGGGGGGGGGGGGGGGGGGGGGGGGTTAGGGGAGGGAGCCGCGAGCCGCATTATAATACGCGAAGAGCCGCTTGCGGCTCGCGAGCCGCAGCCTGGCCACCCCTGGTATAAAGCGTGATGAAAAGATGTTTTGTTTGCTTTAGACCTATTTACAGGGCTTGACTAAATACCAAGGCTTTTGAAAGATTGCTTACCTGGAACCTCAATGTGAGGAAATTCACCATATGAACAAAGGCACCAAACCCTCAGTATGCCCTCGTTGTATAGGGATTGTGCTCTATTAGAACACATTTTAGTACATTTTTGTAAAAAACTAAGCTCTTCTCCAAATCTAAAGCTATTTCTGCTGACAAAGCCCACAACACAGTTCATCTTTGAGGTTTACGACAAGGTTAAAACAATGTGCGTCCCATGTAGCCCAACCCCACCAAATACTACTCATAAGCTTCCTTGTAAAGCAGAGCGGCAATCGTGCCTCATTACATACTTGAGTCCTCTCAACAACATGCCTGTTTGTTAGGTTCACATAAATACGGTAATCTCTGCAAAGGGCATTCTAACACTAGCTAACAAATGCATACCAAAAAAAGAACAAGTCATGTTTGGCATAAATATTCACCCTACCTGTGTGCTCAACGAGATCGCTGATCTTGGTCTGGTATGTCAAGGCTTCTTTTCTTGAATTGTCCAATTCTTCATTCTTTTCCTTCAGGAGGTTGTTTAGTTCTGCCACAGTGCGCTCATAATCTGCAATCTCCAAGTCTAGGAGAGAGTGCATCTTGGATTCCTGCGAGACAGAAGAAATACTTCACACACAACACTGGAACTCCCCAGAACCTCCAATGGAGTAACTTATTGTGCCAATAAGTTAACTGGACTAACAGATGTGTAAACTAGTACAGTATATCAAGAAGAAATGGTTACAAGCCATATCAACAACCAGAACCCATTAAAAGGAATGATTCCTGTCTCCACCGAAAGCGGCCATGAGGCAGACAAGTCTTATAAACATAGTACTGTTTAGACGGCAAAATGTAAGCAAAACTCCCAAAATTAAATTAAAATCTCGACCTGGAATTCATGAATGTCACATTAATGGGGGCTGAGCATATAACACTACTATTTCAACTGCATGCTTCTATGATTTCACTGACCTTACACAGCTTATAGCCTATGTCTCTTTTTATCAGAAAGTATTTTTTTTTAACATCTGGATTTAGAACCATTTAAAAAAATTCAACAGAAGCCTTTACTACCTGTGACAGCAAGCGAAGCTAGGAGCTACTAGGAGCTAACTTCAGTTTTGTTGTACAAGGTCGAGTTTTTGTATATGTGACTTACTGTTTACTTTCATACATGACTTACTCCAAAGCACTACTAGATAGTGCCAAATTAGTTGGGACTAAACAGTAGCAAGGGTCAGCTAAATATTTTAATTCCTGTAAGATCATTCACGAATCTCTCATGAGTGAACACCTTGTAAATCACGTATACCCCAAACAATTATAATATAATTAGCGGTGCATCCGAAGCGCACGTCGGGGCCCAAGGAAAACAAAGACGATGCGTGTACGGACAGCAGATGACGCTTCTAATCTGGTCTGGATGCCGTGACCATGGATGTTATCATATAAATTAAAAACGTAATGTTTGGCGTCAGAAGTGAAATTCTCGGTATGGCCCCAAGAAATTTAACCACCATTAATTTCTTGGCCTGTAGGAACTAAGAAATTGCACCACTGGCAAGGAAGTTCTCTTAGCATTGCCAGTACCAGCGTCTGTCTCATGAAGTGGCATGGTTGTAACTGGACTACAATACAATAGACCACCTTTCTTTTCCATGCTCCGCTGCAAGCACTCTACCTACATTAGTGCATGGCCACATCAGTGTCCTTGGAGCTCAGGCCACCAAAACACGTAAGTGCGCGCAAGGCATAAATGCTTCTCGAACCGTCATTGTAACTGCTTAGCGGTCGAGAGCAGGGCCCATATTCTCAAAAAACGTTCATAATCTCTCTTGAATACGGCAATGCCGGCGCATTTTATTGTAGGTGTTAACTGCTCAAATTGCATGAGTGTGCTGCAAACTTTGGCACCGATAGCATACTCTGTGCCGGCATAATATTCGCCTTCCGACGTATCACTACGGACGACAACAAGATGACTGCCCGACTCCCTGCCATCAAGATTTTGCACATCAATCTTCACAAAGTGCTAAAAGGCAGGACTTTAGTGTTGAAGATGAACTGCGGAGTTGGCCTGGACTTTGTGAGCGCACACAGGTGAGCATGAGCTTCCACGTCAGCTTTCCCTATGCCACAAGGGCACATGACACAACAAATGTGCAAAAAAACCAAATGCGGACAGACTGTTGAACGCTAAAGCTATCTGTTAGGGTCGTGCAGAAACAATGCTCATACAAAAAAAAAGGCATGTTCCTTAAAAAAGACAAAAAAAAACCTAATAGGCAATAGTGCAGCAGTGAGCATGAGGCACAAGCAGACAGCGTGTCCCACTTCTAATCTGGTCTGGATGCCACGACCATGTATGCCATCCTGTAAATTAAAAAACTTAACTATATGTATTAACTGTACAATATTAATATTTTTTCAATGCACAGATCATGCACAGGACAGTTTCTTTACATCACAACAAATATAAAAATTTAACCACGGCCGGCTTCTTTGACGCAATTACTTCTGTCAAGAGATAGTGTTTGTGATTACCATGTAGCACACTACAAAAAACAAATGTTCCTACGTACCCACACCTGCTAAGGCCCACATGCCTAAGCAACAGTACCTTCGAAATAAATAAGCGATGTCTCTATGTACATGCGTTTGATGATGCAATACGCAGCCCAGGAGGCTGTAGTGCACGAGCTGTAAAGATCTTCTAAACCACCCACGACGGGAAAACCATGAGAGGGCTTGACGGTACCTTCTGCATCCTGTCAAGCTGGTGGGCAGTATTAGCGTGCTGCTCTCTCTCTGCCCCCAACTGTCTCTTCAGTTCATCCATTTGTTCTTCCAGGGCCTTCATGTGTGACTGCAGTCTATCCTCCTGCCCTTTGGCCGTGCACAGCTGAGCCTCCAGAGTGATTATTTTAGCCTCAAAGTCTGCCTTGCACTGTTCCCATGCCTAAGCAAGTACAGAGATTGGGTTAGTCTGTGGCCCCAGTCCCATATAGAGGAGCATTAAGCTTGACTCATGTGAAAATTAAGCTAATTTAAAAAAAAAAAAAAAAAGATGAAAATTAAACCCCAATTTTTAATTTTTCCGCACCCTGTTTCTGAAGAAACATTAGGTACCATTGGCACGGAATATGAAACATGTAACATTGGAATGCATGGCCTTCGGTACATGCTGCACTATCTGGAGGTTGATGGAACTGCAGATAAGGGGGCTCCGAGGGTGTGCACATCAGAGAAAGTGAACACTCTTGCAGCCCTCTCTCCACTCCGCAGTTTTATCAGCCTCCAGGTAGTGCAGCATATAGTATCAAAGGCTACGCGTTCGAGCATTCACGTCTCATTATGTGCTGATCGTACCTTGTAAAATGAAAAAAGAGAGAGAGAGGTAGCGGGTTTATGTCAGTATCAACTAACAGCTTATTTTGTTATCAGGATGACACCATTTTAATGCACACACCTACATTGGTGATGCATTGCTTTCAAACCACTTTACTTTTAGAGTTCAAGCATCTCATGATGAGCACTTTGCCCTAAACGAATAATAACATTTTAAAAATAAAATGTTTTGTTCAACAAATGCTTGCAAACACCTCAACCTAGAAGCCAACTAAAGCTGCATTTTGACTTCTCTTTACACATACAGAAACTGTGGCCAATTAAATTCTTGCAAGCATATTCAAGCAAGCGCAGAAAAACTTGTCAAGACAAGACAATTAACACAACCATGCATCATTCTGCCCAATGCAACAAACTCAAATACTAAACTACAAAAAAAAAATATTTCCTGCAATTGGAATGCAAGGATATGAGTCAAGCATCATCAAGGAGGATGGCGGGAAAGAATCGAGTTGCATATGTAGCTTACTTTTAATTCTGCACTCATAACGTCGTTGGCCTGTTTCACTTTGTCCCTCTCGGCAGCGACGCTGGTCATTTCCATTTTTGCCAGGGCCAAATCATTGACCACTGAGGCTACTTTCGTCTCCCACTCTTTGCACAGGGACCTAGTTGCCTCATTCTGGTCTTGCAGTTTGTCGTACTCGCTTTGCAGACTCTTAAGAATGAAAGAGATGTTTTAGGAGGCATTTAGTTGAGCTTACAGCACCAAAGGTATGACCATCATTAAAGATTAAACCCTCTTCTGTGCTGAAGATATCACAAAACTTATTTTGACATGCAACAACTCATTTTCATAAAACAAAGTATAAAAATGTATCCCAAAAGAACAAGATTAAACTGAAAAACTACCCCGTGTAAAATAGGCTAGCCAATAAGCATAATGAGCTCTGTTAAGATGAAGATGAGGCCAAGCACAAGAAAGACGGTCTGATATGTGCTAGCAGCCAAACATTATATTGCTGAAAACGTATCATTCAGCAGCAGCAGTACTTTTGAAAATTTGTACAAAGGCCACTGGGATGCTGATTAAAGAATGGCACAAATATGGCTGTGCATATTAAATAAAAATAAGGTTATTTCATGAAGCAAGGGCATTAACGGTATTTCGCAATACAAAAATAAACCTGTAGCCTTGTTAGTAACGGCACATGCCACATGCAGTGTAACTTCGTAGCAAAAGCAGTGATTCCTTCCGGTGACATGCATTTGGAAAAGCAATGTCCTGGAGTGCTACAGAATGACAGCCAATGCTTTGCAAAAATCCTGGTCTAGAGAAAGCTACTAAAATATGCTGAAAATCCACCTCCATTATGTATACCGTAAAATGCCGCGGAAGCGCCCACTTCGTGCAAACATCCACTATTGACATTTCCCAAACTTGGGAATTCTGCAAGCTATACACTGAGCGCCCGATTTAACCGGACAAGCGCCCACGCCTAGATTAGCCCAGTTTTCAGTGAAAGTGGAATGGGCACTCCCCCGGTATTTTACGGTAACTCATCTCTGTTTCCTAACCAAGTTTCTCTCGTTGAAAAAGCCCGAGAATTTACCCACACCCTCTTTCAAGGCTACAAAACTATCAACATCTTTCATTTTCTCTCCAGACTCAAAACGGAACTTGTTGACCACGCGTGGGTAATGGGTCGGGTTCCGCGTTTTCTGAGTTTATTTTTCGTCAAGCTCGGAGGGTGTTTGTTTTGTGCTTTTTTACTGTTATATCTGTTCCAACTGTTGCGACCGAGGAGTTCCCAAGGCAGCCTCAGGCAGGGCCAGGCGAAGACAGGGATCGCAAACTGACTCCAGGCAGGAACATCAGCAGGAGATGGGAGGGTCTCTCACGATTAACTCTGTTTAATTACATATATACAGGAGTTTCTACATCGTCGGAGAGCACCGAATGGGCAGCGAATAGGTTCTTTTATAATAAAATCGGTGTTCTGGAGCTGCCGTGCCATTGGTTGGTTAGTTCCGCATTCCCAACTTGGCCTCGACATCAGCCTCCTTCTCTCGGCCCCGATGCTTGGTCGTTGTTCTTCTCCGAATTGAGGGTGACTAGTAGGGTCTCGCGCACGATAGACTCAGACACAACAGACTGTCCATCTGTTCAGGGTCGGATTCTGTCTGGCGTTCTCGTAGAATGCAGATGCCGTAGACAGAACACACCGACGGCAACGTTCTCGTGGAAGGCATACGCAAGGCAGACGCCGTAGACAAAGCAAAGCGACGGGAACGTCGGTTCTGATGCCCTTGAGCCGAGGCCCAAAAGAAACGCTTCTCCGGTTTAGGTAGGACGTGCGAAAAGGGTTCGGATCGCATGCCAACCGTTTCGACGTTCGCTTGGTCGTCGTCCGCACCGGAATGCAAGGTCGATTGCAACACAACACGCTCGTCAAAATCTTCAACTGTCTTTTACTTTTTAGAGGGCAGCTCTTAGGCGCCCGTTCCCAGCATGAGCGGTGTTGCCATCGCCGTCAGCATCGGTGTAACCGTGAGGTTACGTGACCCTCCCCGAGGTCACATACCCCCCACCCCGTCCCCCCTGAGGTCACGTGACCCCCCCCCCCCCCCTGAGATCACATGACCTCAGGGAGTCACCTATCCTTCACTACCCTTTCATCCTCCTCCTCAAGGGCTGCACTCTAATCCGGCGTTACAGGGAGTTGTAAACGGCTTCCTTTTTCTTTTTTCCAGGGAGGGAGGGAGGGAGGGAGGGGGGGGGGGGGGGTTGCGGCTGGAGTGGCATTGGCACATAAAAAATTAGAGTTCATCGGATAAATCCGAATTGACCTTAATTTCACCAACAAGCGTTTTTCTGAGTTTTTCGGATATATCCGAAAACAGGGAATGCTAGTAATGGGGCACCGCCTCGACTTCCCTACCACAACGACCTTGGTAAGAGAGGAGGTGGGGCCCCCCCCGTAATGAGTCCCAGTTTAACCTCAAGGACGTCCCCGCGAGCAACAAGAACCGTGTTCCTCTCCCTGAATCTTAATCAGACATACTGTGTTCAGTTAGACCCGCACACTTGCTCTGCAACTTTGTATCTGATATATCTGCTACTGCCTCTGTGAGGGCCTTGTGTATCTGCCTGTTCATTTGTGTTTATAGTCTTTCAAGTTGCATGGATATGTCAACTCTTACCTGAAAATTTTGTACAGTCTGCTTTGAGGCTTGCGAGTTCTTCTCCAACTCCTGCTTTACACTAGACAGCTCTTTCTCAAGGGAATTCATCTGCAATAAAAAATCTCATATGTTTAACAGGCTCGAGAGAGAAAAAAATCATAAACAACAAGCACAGCACACCAAATTCATTCCTTGTTAATCACATTTGTGTTTGTTACAAATGTGCCGTGTTTACTCATATAATGAATGCACCCCCCACAAAGGGTACCAATATTTTGACTTTTTTCTTCCCTCGCGTAATGAACACACCTTCAATTTCTGGCTCCGCGAGTCTCGAATTGCATCCAACTAGCTGCCAAGCCCACCAAGCCAATTTTCTTTTGCTGCCAAGCGGTCAGGCCAAGTCAAGCCACGTCAAGCCGCTCTCGTAATGGCTGCAAGTGCGCAGTTGCCCAAGTGATCAACCATGAAACCGAGCGGCGTGCACAGTTGACAAAGCTTGGGTAGAGGAATTGCCCAGCCCCGGACATTCTTCGCCTATCGGACGCATTGATGTCAACAAACATGCCGCCGTCTGTGGTCCGCTTTCAGACAGTGAAATCGTGAAAGTGGTTAGGCCTAAGAACGGTCGCGTCACTCTCTGTGCTGAGTGCGCTTCGTAGGGTGCTTTTCCTTTGGCAAAAGGCACGCCCAAAGCATCCTAAAAAGGTTTGAAATTTATAAAGCATGGTTGCTGTGGCGAACCTCTGACCAGCCGTGGGTGTGACTCCATCAGTGGAGACGTGCCACAGTACCTTGACGTGTCATATTGGAACCTAATTTGACATTTGCACGAAGTGTGCAAATGCAAAAATTTTACACCGCATAATGAATGCACCCCCCAAATATGTGTCAATTTTTCGGGAAAAAAGTCTATTCATTATGCGAGTAAATACAGTAATTTACCCAAATGGTGTGCAGCTTCTCTGTAGCTATATTGACCATTTTATGATCACATATTGCATCTGTATTGCTGTTAGATCTTTCAAAGTGCTACAATATGTAAAATATTTGATTAGCTAAAAACTCCAAGAACCAGCTTCCTAAAATTTTGACTCATTTTAAAAAGAATGGCAAAACCTCAAGGCCTGCAGGGCATTAAAATATTGGATGCCCAGTTGTGGCATACTTATTGCTTCTTAAAGAAACATAACTAAAAAGAAGCAAAAGAGAGAAACCTCTAAGTGAAAAAAAAAATGGCAAGCAAGTATATTTCTGGGGTATTTTGAGCTTTTTAGAACACCTATCGAGTGCTGCTGACGTCTGCGCATGAACTGAAAACAAATACATAGCTTTACATACATACTTTGTAGTGCGCTGTGAAAATATCAGTTGGCATCAAAAAGTTAATTAGCCATTTCCTCTGGCTTTCTTAATGGTACCTCTCTCCTCCTAATTTTCATTTCCAACATCTAACCGGTGCCCAAACTAAACTGATACACATATGGGTCCAGCCACATTACCAAGGAACACTGATAGCTTACACTTCGCCACTTTGGGATGAACTGACCTCCAAACTTTTGCATGCTGTAAACTTTACCAAGATAAAAAAAAAAAAAAAAAATGTTTACTATAGACATGTAGGGGCTCATTGGAACATTCATAATGACACTTGGGATACAATGATGAAAGTTCAAATTGAAAGAAAATATGAATGTGAAAAAATAATGTAGTAGCATCGACACCAACACAGCTAAGGTTTGATAAAGCCTCTTAGACCCCTTATTCACAATACTAAAGTCACTGGCAGCTTAAAGGGGCCCTGCAACGACGTTCTGACTAGTGTTTAGTTTGCACCGAACCTGAATGCACTGACCGTAGTAACTTAATAAATCTTTACTTTTCTCGAATTTCGCTTTATTAGAAATGTTATAGGCAAATTAAAATTACAAAAACAAGCAAAAAATAACCTCCTTCATGACATCCTTGGTCCTGGCTTGAGTGGCCGTGAACTAGAGGAGGGGTAGTGAGCTCAGTGAGCGCTCACAGCTGCAGCACTCCATATCAACGGCTCGAGGGGGTGCCGCTAAAGCATTTGCTGGATAGGCTGGATGAAGCGGGCGGCCAGAACGGCTCGCATTGCATTTGCTGCGCGACTAAACGCTAGTTCGGCATGACACTTCATTGCTTACAAAAAAACAGCAAACACGGGGTAAAGATCTGTTCAGAACAGGAGCCACTTTGCACTGCCATACCACCAAACGGCCAAACCAGAAGCCAAACCTGCTCGCCGAAGGCCTCTGGAACGCTCGGAACCGGTCGGATCCTCGAGCCCATACGACCACAGTGCTGCTGCGTACAGGGTGTCACAAAAGAAAATTTACACGGTCTTTTTCACCGCAAAAACAAACTAGGCATCGCCGAACACTCATTCTCCGCCCAAAGGTAGCGCTAGAGGTCACAACCAGATGCCAAAGTTTCAGCCCGATCCGATGACTTAATCAAAAGTTATAAGTTATTTTCTGAAAATTTCAATGGGAAAATGGAGCCCGTTTTTGCCCGTTTTCGGTTTTTGGTGCCCATAGAGCCCCATGTATTCGAAAACTCCGTCGGCCGCCATTTTCCCATTGAAATTTTTAGAAAATCACTTATAACTTGATTAAGTTATCGGATCGGGCTGAAACCTTGGCATCTGGTTGTGACCTCTAGCGCTACCTTTGGGCGGAGAATGAGCGTTCGGCGATGCCTAGTTTATTTTTGCGCTAAAAAAGACCGTGTAAATTTTCTTTTGTAACACCCTGTACATCCGGAACCTTTCCATGCTCACCGGTGCCCGATCCCACTACCCCTTTCTAGTATGCGCCACCTTTTCCACCGCTTGGTGACGGGTATGTCGACGGGTCATGTCTTGTTTCCGTCTTTACAAACTGCATTTGTTTCCTTTCTAATCTAAAATACTGAACAAAAGCTACTTTCATAAATAATTGAAACGGTTTGCAACACTTATATTTTGGATTTTGACTAAAAGAAAGCTTTTAGCGGCTCTGACAAGTAGTAAGGCCAGGACCAAAAACGTTTCGATGTCGTCACATATCACGCGCTTTCAGCGTGCCGGTCGCCCCCGTAGGTGAAGGAGGTTTTCGTATTGTCCAGCTAAAATACGACGCAATGATATTTAGTTACTCTCTCCACGCCCGCTGGCTTGCCCGAACCTCAAGAGATGGGGAAACCGCAAAAAAATGTAGACGCTTAAATATGATTGCAGAGCCCCTTTAAGAAACGCAGTGCGTGGCCTAGTTTGTTCACATTTCCTGCTTAGTGACTTGTTCCCCAGAGTTCGTCATTCAATGATGCAATCTTATTGACCGCCACACAATAATAAGATGCTCAGTGCTCACTACATTGTGCGTTTAAGGGGAGATGCGGGTTGAAAACAGGCAATATTTTGCAAAAAAATGTTTTGATTGGTTTTATGGTGCGTTAATTGTTATTTTTTAATCCTTACATTTTATGTGTAAAAATAATTAGTGCCGATTATGATCACGAAATTAGTCAAATACGCATTTGAATACCCCCAAGCAACTCCGAACAGCATGAATTTGAGCCATTTTTCTTTGTGTGGTTTTTCAAGTAGCGACGTCACCCGCCATCACATTTACGTTGACAAGTAGGCCTAGCAGTCTCCTCTCCATTGCAGTGCTCCGTAGCTTCAATTTCTCATGAAAATTTATTACCAAAATATTATTTTCTGCACTGCGAAAGAGTATTGCTAAACACACATGGTAACATTCAAACACATTTTTCTTTCTTGGGGGGCATCTTCACAGTTTGAGCACAAAATTTCTGCTCTTAATATTGTTCTATCACAACCAAATTTGGCCTGCATACACTTTAGAATATGTAGAATGCAACTATCTCAGTTTATTTGGAATGTATTTTTGTTTTTCTAATATTTATGAAAAATTTAAGAAATGTTTGCTCTCAAATTAAATGTCATTTTTACCATTTTTAATTAGTTTAAAATGGGAGTCACACATATTTTTGTTGTTCATTGCACTCAGTGGTTTAAAAGTTAGGTTTATTTTTTTTTATTTTTAGTTTAATTGACTAGACTTTTTGCCATGCCTCATTAGGGCACAAGACCATGCTTTTTTCGGCATGTACATTGCATTGAGAACCTAAACAAACAAGCTATATCAAATCTAACACCAGATTTATAAAGAAAAGATTAAGCATTATGAACTGCAAAATTTTCATTTTTAGTTTGCCCTTGCCTCCTTCCAGACTGGGGATGCACAGAAAAGAACAGTGCATGCATATCATCGTTAGTAAACCAGCTAGTCTGCATATTGTAAACAGAACCTGCAAGTTCCCATGAAAACTAACCAGGTGCTTTCCAAATTACTAAGAGACAGGATAGCCAAAGCAGCTTATGATGCCTTACCTGCTTGCCTTTCTCTGCCAACTCTTTCTTCAGCCTCATGGCCAATGCCTTGAACTTTGCCAGCATGTCATCTTTCTCCTTTAAAGAGCTAAGCAGCTCAGCCATCTTTTCAGATTCTTGCTCAGGTTCCACAGGTTCGGTCAGCGACGAATCCTCTGATATCTGTTCAGCATCCTTTGCCAGTGAATTCCACAACTGCTGAATGTCGCTTAGCACAGCGAGAAGTATGACAACGTTGTCGAACATGGCCTTGCTGAACACTCTCTCGAGGGACAATGGGCCATTTTCGATTTCATCGTAGGATTCTATTTTACTGGACAGAGCAGCGTGAACTGCCCCAGCTTCTGCGAGCATTGTAGCGGTATCAGCAGAGTTGTGGTCCTGAGGTTTGATAGCATAAGCCACAAGACGAGATATCAACTTCAGCGCTGTCATCTGAGCAGTATACCATTCATGACATGGAACAGAATCCTCATTGGGCAGACTGTCAGATTTAAAAATTGTGCAGAGTTTAGCACATTCCTTTTGAAGTTGGGTCACCTCATCCTTAGCAGCTGATAACTCAGATTCCTTATTGTCTATTTGTGTCCTGCAACCTTTATGCTCTTCCTCTAAGGTCGTCAGCAAAGCTTGAAGGTTTTCTGTCCGTTCAAGCTGGTCATCAAGCCTCGAATGGATCTCTTCAAGCAGCTTGGTCTTGGAGATGAGTTCAGCTCTAGTGGATGACAGTTCTTGTGACAGACCCTCTTGAAGGGTGTCTTTTTCCACAGAGGATGAAGAGAGACAAGTGCTCAATTTCTCAACATCAGCTTTGCTAGCCTCTAAAGAACTACTCAGCATCGAACATTCCTGCGTCAAAGCCAAGTTAGCCGCTCGCAGAGATGCAACTTCTTGCTGAAGCAAAAGCAACTGTTGCTTAGCATCTGTGAGGTCGTCTGCATGTAAAGAAAGATCTTTTCCTTTCTGTGAAATTTCTTCAACCAGCGTATCATTGCCATGTTTCAGGGATTTCACAGTCTCTTCAAGATGTTTGATTTCGTTGTCATACTTAGATGTCAGCTCACTAGTGGCCCTTACATTTTGTGACCCCATAGTGTCACACTGTAAACGAAGCTCCTGAATTTCAACTTGTGAAAACTCCAAGTCAGCTTTCAACTTTGCGGACTGCTCATTGGCTTTTTCAAGCTCCGATTGTAAGCGTTTTAACATGCTATCCTTTTCTGCAATAAGGCTAGCCTGGTTTTTGGCAATACTGGCTTGGTCAACAGAGATTTTCTCCGAAAGCTGGCTATACTTATTCTCCAACTCACTATATCTAAGGTGCATGTCATCAAGCTCTTTTGATACACTTTGAAGTGCTTCGTCTCTATCACTAAGGTTTCGTGAGCTGTCTTCAAGCCTTTTCTCAAACTCTGCAATCTGGAGAGTAGTTTCTGCTAGCACTTCTTCTGCTCTTTGCTTTGCCAAAGCAAGTTGCTCATTGCTTGCTGCCAAATCCCTGTTAAATTTCTCTTTCGTGATCTTCTCCATTGCTAGTTCCTCTTCCACAGCTTGCTTTTCAAACTGAAGCAGATCGACCGAGTTTCTGCTTGCTGTCAACTGTTCCTGAAGACCTTCAACTTCCCTTTTCAAGGCTTCAAACGCCTCGTCACTCACGGTGTCATCCTTGCTCTGCTCGCCCTCTTCGCAGGAAGGAGCACCAAATTCGCAGGAATCGTTCAGCACCAAGGTTGCTCCTGTCCCCGGTGGCAGACCCTCCACATGTATGTCCACCAAGTTGCGCTCAGCTGTTTCCAAGACGAGCTGGCACAATCTATAAAATTCTCTTTGCAGTTGGACCACTCTTAATTCAACATCACTTTCCGTACATCTCCTCAAAGTATCTTGGGCTTTCAAAGTACAGAGCGCCATCTCATTCAGGTGACCGCGCAAGGTTTCGAGTTCTTTGAAAGACTGTTGGTCCCGTGTTTCTGCATCTTCAAGTTCGTGCTCCAGCTTCTGTATGTGAAGTCGGTCATTCTCAAGGTCAGCCTCGAGCTGTCCCGCCTGCGTCTTCAGCTTGTCGCATTCCTGGTGAAGTTCCTTGGCTTCGTCTTCAAGGAAATGTTGAAGGTCCTTGACCTGGTTGAGCTCATCAATGATATCCTGTTTCTGATGCATGGAATCATTCAACTGCTTCTCCAGGAGGGACACCTTTGCAGCAGAACTCTGAAGGTTCTGAAGCAGACTCTTGTCGCCTCGTCTTGCCACATCCAGCTGTTCTTGTAGCTCCGACATCTCATCGCGAAGCCTACTGACAGCTTTCTCCAGGTCTGAAACTTTAGAAAGAAGCTGCTCTCTCTCACGCTTTAAATCCTTAAGTTCTTCCTCGTCTGCATTCCGATTGTCAACTGCCTCCTGCGACTCAAAATCCAAAGGATCTTGGCCGCCTCTTGAAAGCCTCTGTTCCGCCGATGCAAGAGAATTCCTAAGGTTTTCTATGAGCTTTGTAGACTCCAATTTTTGAGCGGTTGAAACCTCCAGCTGTTGCATTAGGCTTTGGTGAACCTCAGCATTTTCTGCAAGTTTCTCTTCTAGTTGCTGCACAAGGCACCGCTGAGTTTGAAGCTCCTTTGTGGATTCTAGTGCAATCTCAAGGTCAGAAGCGAGTCTTTCCTTCGCAGCTTGCACGACTCTCAGCCTTTCTTGCAGGTCGTTGACGCAAAGTTGCAGCTGAGTGTTCTCATTGACAGCCTCCGAAAGCGATTTTTCCAGACTGCTGTTGTCGTCTAGAATTTTCACAAATTCCTTCTCCTTGGCTTCTAGTTCTTCCTTTGCCTGGTACAGGTTAGAGACCTGTTCCTCAAGACCATGCTTCTCCTCCTGCAGCAAGTTGCATTCATTCATTTTCATATCACGCTGGTTCTCAAGGCACGACCTTTCCTCCAACAGTGCGGACAGCTGCTCTTGAAGGCTGCAGACTTCCTCGTTGGCACTCTGCACTTGTTGCATTAAGGCCTCCCTGGAAGCGTTAGCAGAATCCCGATCTTGCTTCAGCATGTTGCACTGTGATAGCAGCTCCTCAATCTTTTGCTTCATGTGCCCCTGTGAGATCTCTATCCTAGCTTCAGATTCAGCCGGAAGTTTCTCCTGCTCCAGAGTGGCGAGACGTTGCTGCAGAGCAGTCTTTTCCACTTCTAGCTGTTTCTGGGATTGAAGCACCTCTTCCATTCTAGCATGGCAAACCTAGAAAAAGATATATAAGAACTATTTTTAAGACCTTTATTGAATTACTAATGAAAAACATTACAACTAGCAGAAATTAAGTGCCAAAAATTTTTCATAAAGTTGCAAACAAACATGCACCACAAAAAAATCACTCATTCAGTGTTTCTAGGTAAATATTTATAGAAAGAAAAGCATGAAGATATCATCCACTCCAGAAAATTCATGAGATCTCAGAAGGGATTCACTCAAGCAGTTACTTTCAGATTAAGATAATATGTTAGGGTTTTAACCTCAGTAGACTAGAAAGAAATGCTAGGCAATGTCACTATTTTACTGATATTGCAGTGTAGTGGTGACCACAATAAGCATATGGGAAACAAAAATACTGTTACAAGTAAGCTTGTGAAACTTTTTTTTTTACAACTGTGATTTGCCAGCTGACTGTGTTGAAATGATAAAGTAAAAATTGATAAAGTAGTACAAAGAGGAACTGGCAGCACATGCATGAACAAACATATGCAAGTCACTGCATGTACCAGTGTACTGGACAACAGCTTGAGCCACTTAGCCAACAGCTGCCAGGGCAATGGCAGCAGAAGGCTTAGGCTGTAATGGCAGCTAACGCAAGTAGCTGCTGCTGCATGTTTCCCCAAAACACGTCACAATTTTTTTAGTCAACAAAAATTATTGTTTGCATCAATCGATAAAATAGCTTGTGACAACATTCTTAAAGTCAACGAACAGTGCCAGGGAACACGAGCTAGCCAAGTCCGTAATCTGCAAGTATATGTTTCAACGTCATCCGTGTAAAATTATTTGCTCTCATATCCGGAAAGACTGTGACCTATCATTTTTACTACTTATCTCTTTCCCTGGAGCGGGATTGATTGAATACTTTATGGTAGAGGCATGCAGATAAACATGAGCAAACGAACTAAAATTCAGCAGAGATAAACGTAAGAGCCCTAGCAGACACAGTATACAGTGAACAAAATGCTAACAAAACACAAAAGGAAAACAAGTGCATGCAGTCTCAAAATATCAGACTTCCATGTTTGCCGTTGCATTTCATCAGTTTCAAGTTCACCATTATTAAACTAGTAATTGGCTTGTCTCCGGCTCATTCCTTACTTCAAGGCAAATCTCTATGAAGTCTTCAAATGGCAAGTGAGAGTTATCTTTTGCAACACTTAGGCATCAATGCATCATGCACTTATGGTCAAGACAAACCTAAGAATGAAGAGGAGGAAACAAAAATACCTTGTTGTCAAGTTCCAACTTCTTAAACTCCTCTCGTAGGCACTCGGTTCCCTGAGTGTAAGCAGCCATCTTGGACTCTGTACACTCCAATTTTTCGAGGCATTCTTGGTATTTTCTGCGCCATTTGACTAGATCTTCGTTAGAAGCTGCGAGTTGGTCTTCCAAAACCTGCAGTCAAGTGGCCAACTTATCAAGGAGTTTTCCATGTGATAAAAAAATCATAAGCCTCATACATTTCTGGAGTCACTCGTCAAAGACACCTGTACCGCTTGAAAGACCCACGCTAAATCATGGCATCACACCAGTAAGCTATTACAACTCCTACAGCCCCACAGCAAACAATGTAAATGCATACAAGAAGGAATGTGGTATGGGACCCAGTATAACATAAAAGCAAGGTCTCATATGATTGTGACATGCTAAAGATAAGCTGCTATGTTAAATATGTCAAAGGGGCCGTGCAACAATGTTTAGACTTCAGTCAAATAATTGTGGCAGTTGTTCCTATCACGTCTATATCAAAGAACTGAGAACAAATTTTGCATAAGCACGTTAGTTCTCTAGAAAAAAAAAGTAAAACAATTGATGTTTTCGGCGCCTCCGAACCACCCTCAACTCTTACACCTTCTTCCCCGTCAAGCGCAGTGAAGTGCTAGAAGGAGGAATAGTTACTTATCACCTCGGGCATATGGCACCACTGAAACTGAGTATAGCACAACTTTTCGATGATACCAGGTTTCTGACGCATTTACTCATGTTGAAACAACAATATCTATCAAATATAGCATTAGATTGAGCACATAATGGCACATCTTGCCAACTTATTACATTATACCCATTGCGCGTCACGCCTTAGTTACCATGGCCGCCACCCGATGGTAGCAAAATCGCAAAATATTCCTGTTCTTTTTTTAATGCGAAAGCGTTAACTGTCTCATGAAGCGAGCTGACGTCATCAGTTTGAAGCGCGAAAACGGCTCCTAGTTGCCGCAATCGCCTTCGGTTCCATTAGCTGGTGCACGTCGACAGGGCTCCCATTGGCCGCTGCGCCATGGCCTCCAAAATCCCAAAGCGCGCGCACGCTAGTACGCAGCAGACAACAAAGGGAGCAGACGAGCAGACAACAAAGGGAGCGGACGAGCGGCTTGCATGCTTTCACATTCACAACTTAGGTGTACCTCTAGCTTTTTTTGCTATTATGCAACGGAATTGCTATATTTCAGAAGAATAGGCGGTTCCTTTCTTCCTTTTGGTAAGATAAACAATGTAAAAATTTAAAACTGCAAATTCTTTCAAAAATTGTTGCATCGCCCCTTTAATGCCCGTTCACACACTCCTTAGAACTGAGTGGCTTAAAGCCTCATAAAATCTTTTACGACGAGAGAACACACTGGCACGCTGGTGACATCTAAGCGGTGACCCTGCAACTGCATTTTACTATAGCGAAGGCTTTGTGGTATTTGTGAGGTCAAATGTATGTACCAGTTATGGTCGTTTATAACATTCACAAAAGTATTTTTAAGCCAAGAAAGAAAGAATGATAAACAAATAGAAAATATACGGGTCTGCCAAGTGTTCCAGTGCTACCGGATAGGTGGAGGCAGTGTGCTCTCTCATCTTAAGAGATTTAAGGGGTTTCAAGGTCTTAAAAAGTCACAAGTGTGTGGACGGGCCTTTAGAGGATTGAAGTCTTGGGTCACTCAGAGCAGTGGTTCTCAACCATCGATGTGTCAGGGACCCGTTGGGGAACCACCAAAGTGATGGGAGACCCCATGCCAGCGAGGGAAGGGTAAGAGGAGGGGAAAGTATAAAATAAAACAACTAATTGCAGTGTGAAGACGACATCTTTTACTGCTATAGACAAAAGTGAGAAGCAGCAAGTAAGAGCATGCTGCTTCTCACAAAAAAAAAAAGAGAGCATGCTGCTCTCTTTTTTTTTTTGTGAAACATTTTTAGGTTATGTTTTTAGATGAAGTGAAGCCACAAAAAGCGTAACCGCGAGTTGGTGGAGTTAGCACCCTTAACTCTACACACTCTAACACTAACTCACGACTAACTCCACTAAACACTTGGCTTAGCAGTAGTGCAGAAGGGTTTGGATTTGGGCTAGTTGGTTGAACATGTTTAGGGGTTAAAAGTGCTAAAAACGACAGACGAGTAGGAGAGACACACACCACAGAGCTCTGTAGAGTGTGTCTCTCCTACTCGTCTGACGTTTGTAGCACTTTTAACCCCTAAACATAGCAGTAGTTGTTTGGCACCACTAGCGCCAAACCAAAAAGGTTTCACGCAGCAACAGAATTGCAATACGTTTTTTTTCAAAAGAAAAGAGAGGGGGGGAACCCTAGCAGTTCAGCGGAACCCCATTGGAGAACCACTGACTTCAAGCTTTTGACGAATGTCGCCAAAGATTTCACTCACTGTATGCAGAGGAACAACTATGGTAGGTCAATTTACCACTTGCACAGCAACTGGCATAATAAGTAAACACAGGGATACATTAAGATATAAGCTTCAAAACTTGTCTATTCATTCTTAAGAGAAGATAGCTGTATCAAAAAACGGTAAACTATCAGGTGACGCCCGTGGAGGTGTACGGTTCCTCGCCCATTTCTTCCAGCATCAACACCTTTTTAAATCACAAAAACCATAAATCTGTATTGTACAGGCTTTTGTACACCAACATGATAAATGAAAAGTCACTAACTCAAATAAATATTTAAGAATTATTGAGTGAAGAAACTATGGCATGAGGGCTCACCTGGAAAGACTCAAACTGCTTTTCTTGAGCACCTTGAAGGGACAGGTAAGCTTGACGCAGCTCTTCTGTTTCCTTCTGTTCTGCTTCCAGTGCCTCGCAGCGGCTGAGCAGTTCCTCATTGACCTTATCCCTTTCATGACACCTCTTGTTAAGATCTGCAATAACACAAACATCTGTTAAAACCTCCACAATGGTTAGGCTGTTTTACTATGAAAGATACCTCTGGCCAAGTGCAGCACAGAATTTAGCGCAAACTGCCAGAATGAAAGCCCAGAAAATAGAAGAATCTTCTGGTTAGCCTCAAAACAACAGCTGATGACTTGCTGAGACTCGGCCCTGAGGAATCTAAGACTGTCAATTAAATCCCATTCGTCTGCGTGCCTCCAATGGATTTTTTTTTTCTTTTTTTTTTACTTCTTACTGGCTTCTGGTGCTTCCCCGGATTTATTTCAGATTCCACGGCAAATAGCTTAACATACCATCACATCTTGCCTTGGCCTTCTGAAGTAAAGCTAGCTGACGTTTGACTTGCTTGACTAGGTCCTCTCTGGAGGCTTCTTCAACCTGAAATAGTCATGCAATGTATGCATAAAGGTTAGCTAAAGTAGCATGAATGTTTCATCCAATATGAATGCTTCATAACATACAGAGATCAATTACCGTAAAATACCAAGCATGCACCCATTCCGCACTAAGCACACACTCCCAAAATTTGAAACATCTGAAAAAATGGTGACCTCACATGCACCCATCCACTATTTTTTTGCGATTATCTTTAAATTTTTAATGGGCACTTGCTACGTATTTTGCGTTGAGCTTCACTGCAAAGTAATGAAGCTCGCAAACATGCAATGGTGAGAGGCAGCAAGGAGGCATGCAGCAGACATGATAATTAAGTGATCTCATCAGGAGTACAAGATCCTGTCTTATCATACAGCCGTCATCGTACAATTTTTGCAATGTTTTCTCACGACTTTTACCCCCTGATATTGCGTCGCTGTCTTGAAATTTAGACAATGCTGGCGATCAACCCGCCAGAGCATCACCGGCCAGCGCAGTTGACAAGCAATCTCTACACTTCGTTTCATCTTAATTTAAAGTGCAGCCGACACTACGAGCCAACAGGACCAACCAAACAGCTTCAAGGCGTGATGTCATGGCGTTTGTTTATCTTCTTTTACGTGTTCTTTCATTGACTAGACCAACCAAGTGCAGAGAATGCCAAGTTACTTCCACTTTTAGTTTGCGTGTTCGCGGTTGTATGTGTTCGAGCCTTTGATAGTGTTCTTAAATAAAATAAAACAAACGATATAAGGAAGTAGAGACGCTGCGAAATAGATTTGTACCATTTTCCTTTCCTCCTACTTCTTTGAATATTAGAGTTGACCAATAACAAGATATTTCAATTTTTTGCTTTGCTTCAGCCTATTTTGGAACAGGTGGGGCGCAATTCTTAGCCAAAATAGCACTTTGGTGCAAAATGTAGCAGACTTTCGTTCATGGTGCAATTTGGTGCAAATGGCACAGCGCTTCCATCAATGCAATGGGGCACATTTCAGGTTGTAGACCACAGGTTCCTAAGCTCTAACATAAGCAATAGTGTGTTTTCCACTTTTCCTTAGGGAGTTTTTGTTTCCTAGTTTGCGTGACATATAGTGCTGATTTTTGAGGCTGTGCCCTGTCATTCTGCATCTATGTTCTGGATGGGCAGCCTATTTTGTGACACCTTACACATAATTTCAATGTAAACTTTAACCCACCGTTTCTAATATAATTTTTTGCATATGATAATGTATTAGTTAATCTAAAGGTCCAAAATGTAAATGGATGAAATAGTTTGGCAGTCCAAACTTGTTTGGCAAGATGACATTCTGCATTGAGTGTAGCTTAGACTAAAAATGACACATTAAAAATGCATCTATTAATAGGGAGTATCCACTGACGGCCATATTCGTGTGCGCTGCTGCTGAGCGCGTGCTGACGGCGAGCTTCCGTAGTCCTTTTGGAGCGTGCATTTAGCACCATCAAGGTTGCCGGTCTTAGCAGGCTATTAATGTGAGCTCGTTCTGAGCATGCGCTCTAAACATCGCCCTCAAATATGGCGTCCAGTGAATACCTCCTATTAATTCAGGTCACTGGCTCATACAACGAGTTGCACCGTGGTAATGATTCAAGTAAGCCAAAACCAACCAAACATGGCTTGCTATTTATTAACAGCAAGGTGAGAAAATATTTCAGTATAAAAAAATAGGCCTCTGAAATGCATATCCACCCAGAGCAGAGGTGATCTGTTGTGCCCTTTTCAAATCTACTTTCAATTGATAGTCAGTGCATAGTCTTGTCAGCCCTCATCCTTCATATCTTTTGCCCTGTTTAATCAATGAATTTGTATTAAGTAGTCCAACTTTCTATTCTATAATGCATACCCTAAAAATGTGATCTTTTTTTTAATTAGTTTTTAAAGATTAATATTTTGTAGAAAAATATGGGAACAACCAAGCACAGATTGCAGCAGGCAAAGTAAATATTATCCAAGGCATTGAATTTACAAAAGCTATATGTCGAGAAATTCCAGCTGCTGGAACAAAGTTATATTTTAATTCAGTGGGTGATACACAGCACAATGCAGGGGTGGGCAGATTTTTGCCACTGATAACAAGACACCCATTTTCAATGGTTTTCAGACAAGCTGTTCCATTGTAGCATGCCAGCATGCTAAGAGTCATTGCCAGTTCCAGTGGCATAGTCAACAGTGTTGGGTGGCAGACATTTTAATGAATGCTGCTTCGTCAAATCACTAGGGCTCACCTCGTTAAATGCAAATTACCAAATTTAATTTTTGTTACGGTAAAAAAACTAAGATGGGAAAATATAACAATAGGACAAAATAATGTTAAAGCTCATCAACTTGCATGTGTCTTCAGGGTGACTTATATTGTTGGCATCAAAAAGGGACAGTTCACTTTTTCAAACTGCATTACCCCTACTTTGACAAACACGTGCCACTGTTTCAGGCTCTCAATTTTTTTTTTTTCACAACTTGCATTAATATAGTTAGGACTTCATGTAATACCAACTGATCTGACATTTTGTATCATAATTACTTTCATACACTACATGTGCCAATATCGCAATTAATGTAAATTACAATACATGTACTAATGAAGTATTGTGAAATGCAGTCATGCAGTCTAACTATCCATATTTGTGGCATTTATGTGTTGGCATGCAACCCCGGAACAACCTATTTGCAGCAATAAATAAATATATCTAACACTACTCTGTAGATCATGAAGGCTAAAAAACATTGTACTACTTGGTGCATCACAGGAAAGAGCTAACCTCTGTTCCCTTCATTTGAATTAAAACATCACTGGCAGCATCATTAGACAAACGCAAATAAATGTATGCTACTGGAAAGAACCTTAGAACATAGCAATCAAATTCAATTTTCCTTTTTTTTTTTTTGTCACATACAGCATTGGTAATGGATGTGCAAAACCTAATGCCCAATGCCATACTTTACTTGCAACAACCAAATGCAAGGCAAAACAAAAACCTCCCCATCATTCAGCAAGACAGAGTGGAAAATGTATTTTTGGTAGAATTAGTTTGAAATGCTTTTAGAAGTTGAAGTTTTCCATGTCACATTTATGAAACACAGAATGCTACTGAACTGTCGCACAGAAGCAGTTCTTCTTTTATAAAATAAATATTACGCACTATCACCGTTCTGCCAAACAGCATTCGCTAAAATATGGTTTGGATAAAATGGTGTTCAATAAAACCATGTTTCATGAAATGGTTTGAATGAAGCAACATTCAGTGAAATGCCCTGCAGTAGGAGTAAACAAACAATGTATATCAGTGTAAGAACGCCTTGAGAGATCAAGCTCATCATCCAATTATTTCACTGTCCCTAGTGTCACTAACATACCTGTGTATCTACCATCATATGACCTTGACAAGCCCTGTCCTCTATTAAATCACACTGAGAATAACATAGCGCTGCCAACACACAATAAATTATGTTCTCCATTCCTCCATAAATAATTTTAAAAAAAAAACTTATTTAACAAGAAACACAGCCTTCTTTACAAGAGAAATTCGCTTCAAGACGGCAGGCGCGGCAGTAGAAAACTAAAGGAGGCGGAACTGCTATGATGTAGCTACCTGTCTAAGGGGTCGGCAAACAATACATGTATACATACTTTCGGGGAGTCCTGGAAGGAAACAGAAAGCGACACGGGAAAACTTTGGTTCTCACCCAGGTACTAGAAGATAAGGGTGGTCAAAAACATCCGTGTGGCTCGCCTCCCTTCCCCGCGCGCATATTAAACGGCCTTCAACAGATCCCCGAGATCACTCACCGATATTTTCGGATTCTTTTCCGAAGACTGATCTTGTAGTTTATCCATGTTCGTCCATCTGCGAATAAAAATGTGTCAGACCTAGATTCAGAGACACCTGAAGCCGACGCGACCAGGCTGAAAAGTCGGGAAAAATTATAGCGGAAAACGAAAGAAAGCTGGAAAGTACTACTACCGCAAATGTCTGCGCACCTGCCACTGAGACGGACGCGCTGACACGTATATAGGAATGGCGCGCCAACAAGGTAATGGATCCTTAGTACTTATTATTTCTTTAGTTATTTAGGGGCAAAGCAATTAAGGTAATTACTAATTTGTCAAATGAGGGCAAGGGACGAGCTCGGAGATGATCACGAGTCAGAAGCGGGATGGCGTGCTCTGTGCTCGAATAACACGAGTTATGAATGCATCCTGGCATTCTTTTCAGAACTGCATGGTTTCGTTAAACAGGTTGTATACGTACGTGAGAGTGAATAAAACTTAGATTAGATCCGTACTTAAAATTCACAATTACAACACAGCTGACGTTCCGAGCTGTTGAGGCACAGTGTCGTTGTTAGAAAGTGTTGCGCATCCACACTAAGCCAAAGTTAGCTAAACGCATCGCAAACTAATAAAGATGTAAATTAAACGCAAAAATATATCTAAATATATTGTAAATAGTACTTTAAAACAATTTAGTTTTATGTGTTCATAATAAAAGTAGTTTGGTGCGTTTATCAAGGAATTGGCAAAAAAAATATTTATAGTATGTTAACTTCTTGCCAAGAGAGGGCTCTGGGCACCAAAAAAGTGCGAAATGAGCGGCACAGGGCGCGCATTTGAATTGAAAAAATGCGCCGGCCGTGTGTGTCTCGTCCTCTTTCTGTTTTATTCTTTCTGTGGGCTTCGAAGTATACTTCTGCCAACACGCTCGTTAGGGATCCACTTATAAAGATACCACATATAACGATGTACCGTTTAATAGAGAGTTTTAGTAGATCGTGTTCAGAGGCGGATTTAGAGGGGGGAGGGGGGGGTCCGGATGTCCTGACCCCCCTCTTGATGTCTGCATGTGTAAAATTTAGGGCGTGAAACGAGGGAGAGGGGAAGGGGGTTCCTAAACATATGGTACGCTGACTAACACCTGAACCCCCCCCCCCCCCCCCCCCCTGGAAATTCCTGCATCCGCCCCTGATCGTGTTCTCAGACCACGCTAATCGTAGCGGGAGCTCGCGCTGCCACTTCGATGCATGCTCTGAAGCGCGCGCTCGTAGCGGTAGCGGGCCTTTGAAAAGGATCTACTAAAACTCCCTAGTAACGATCAGTTTATAGAGTTTCTAGACTAGAAACAATCAGTTTCTAGTTCAGATACAACGATCACCGTTGAAAAGATTCAATTTTCAGGCTTTCTGATTATCGTTATAAGTAGATTGCACCGTATATATACAGTAAAAAATTAGTCTCTAATGTTAATTTGGAAGAAGCATGTTGGTGAGACTAAGGGCGTGAAAGCTCAAGCTGCGGAATCCGTGGTTCATTCCTCTCCTAAGCGCCCCTCTTCTCTGTCCTCATTTTTTTTTTTTTTTTTGCGTATTTTTATTATGTATTAGAACCAACTAGCTCAATTCGCACTCTTAATACAGTCTAATTTTCTTTGCTTTATTTTGGTACAAGCTGGCTGCGCACGCAGGGCAACTTGTAACTGAAACCGAGAATCCACCCTGACGCTGCGCTCAAAGTGAAAGTCCCAAACCTTCTGTGATATCGCTCACTTGCGTCTTCGCTTAGTACTTAAATAGTAACAATTTCGACTTGGAGTTTCAAAGTAATTTTTAATCTTATTTTGACGTCCGTGACGCAAGTTCCTGAAGACGTGAAAATATTTTCAAATACGTTCTGACGTTATAACTGTAATAACAAAAACGGCTTGACACAACAAAAAGAACGACTTCATTAAACGTTTTGCCTCCCATGCGGGAATCATCTTCAGTAACGCAAAGAGCAAATGAAAGTCGCACGGAAAGTTCGGCTTTTTAGGCATGAAGTTGGTGTACACATAATAATAATCATAATGTCTTTATTGCACGAAGAAAATAGACATCATTACAAACAGGTCCGCAAAAGCACGTGAGTGCTTATAGGCGTGACCTGGCAACCAGCAGAGAAACTACTAACATCAAATACTGCGAAGCACAAAATAAGCAGAAAAACGAAATACTCTTGACCCGTACAACAATTTAAAAATCGTAGTTACAACCAGGGTGTCGAACCGGAACCGAACCTAACCGAAAACCGGAACCGAACCGGTATTTTTTCCGGAACTGAACCCGAACCCGAACCGTTATATTGTTATCGCGATGAACCCGAACCGGAACTGAACCGGAAAAAAAATAACGGTTACCGGCTCATGTCAAAACGGTTCGGCCACGCGCTGTTGACAATGAATGTGCTATCAATGCCATTTGTTTCTTAAGTGCCGTCAACTGACACACACCTCGCTTACATATTTTTCTTCTCCACTCAGTCTTAGGAATATAAACGCTGCATCCATGAGTCTTGACATAGGAACCAGTACTGCACTGGTCGCGGCTTGCACGGAAGAAAGAAAATGGAAAGGCTGTGCAAAAAAAAAAAAAAAAAAATCGCGTCACGGGATTTCATTTTTTTACAATCTCGTAAATCCTAAATGCTGCTGTGTGCTCATTTCATAACATGTTTCTAGAACGCGCGAGTTCTTGAAGCTTGCTTCCATCGGAATGAGAAAAGAAAAGCCTGTGGAGTTTGATAATAATGCATCCGGTTTCGCATAGGCACTTAGAAACTAACATATCTGTGAGACAGCGAACTCTTCTATTTTAATATTTATCCTATTACGTCCTTCTGGCGTTGCGTTCGGTGAAGTGTTTTTCATATTCCGTATCTTGTTTAATGAAGAGTTACCGAAGGCTAGTTCAAATAATGAAAGCTGTATTTTCTCGCCACTGTTCCTTCAATTGCTTACACGCCGAGGTGTCGGGATAGTTAGCGAGTTCTACTTGTAAGTGGGTTTGTAAGGAGGTCGCGGATTTTACAGCTACTGCGACGGACCCAATTAGGTGAAGTCCGAATGCGTAAGCCTCGGTGAGGTAACCTTTGAGTGCACATAAAGAAACCATCCCTGGTAGAAATCCCTGAGCCTTACACTACGATGTATCCCGTTTCGTATGTGCTGATTTCAGATGTTTTATTTGTAATTTATTTTGATGTTGCAATTTGTAATTTATAATTTCCGAACCGGTTCGCGAACCGGTTCAGCGCCCCGAACCGGTTCGCGGATCGAATTAATCGAACCGGAACTGAACCGGCACAAAATTAATTTACCTGAACCTGAACCGTAACCGAACCCGTATTTTTTTCGGTTCGACACACTGGTTAGAACACCAATTTCTAAGCTCTTTTTTTATTACTTTCAACGACTGTAGATTTAAAAGTTCATTTGGCAACAAATTAAAGTAATGGGGGACGTAAAAAGACCGAACTCGCTTTCCGTAATTTGTGTAGACTCTAGGGAGGGCGAACCGCTCTATTTTTCTCAAAAAGGTAGGTACACGAAGTTCATGCCTAAATAGCTGAACTTTCCGTGTGACTCTCATTTGCTCTTTGCGTTACTGAAGATGCGAGGCGAAACGTAAATTGTTATTTTTGTTGTGTCAAGTCATTTTTGTTATTACAGTTATCATGTCTTCGCCTGGCTCCTGTAGTATTTTTGCACGTTTTGACGTCCCCCCTTCACAATATTCTTGAAAATATTTTGACGTCTCAAACTTAGAACTTTAGAGCGAGCTTCGGATTCCGCACCAAAGTTTGTCTGGACTGGGATGCAATCAAAAGTGGCATTAAAATATATATGTATATAGTACACAAATCACCTTGTTTGCAGGTAGCGTCGCGGAGCGACCGTTCGACACGCATTTTTCGAAAACAAATGTCGTGCAGTCGGCTGCTGTTCTTAAAGGGGCAGTGGAACAATATTCAATAGGAATGTTTTTCACTTTACACGAGCTTACTGGCACTATACTCCGCGACAACTTTTCTTGGCAATGCAGTGGAAGGTACAGGCCCGCGTCCCCTCTCCCATTTTGAGTGTGCGCGGGCTCTCCTCCTCTCCCCGGATGTGGGGAGAGGAGGAGAGCCTGCTTACACTCAGAATGGGAGAGGGGACGCGGGCCTGTACCTTCCACTGCATTGCCAAGAAAAGTTGATACTCGCACGCAACGCCACTGACCAAGAAACTCCTTTGTTTCGCTGTAGTTTCGAGAGCAAAACCGAGTGCTTTCATTCAATCTCTCCTTCGCAAAACCTGATGACGTAGCTGGGCGGTAGCAGTACCGCCCAGTGACGATATTTGAATGCGGCTCATAGATTGGACTCGATTTGGGCTCGTGATAATCAATAGCTCGAGAAGCATTCGGGTAGTGCCCTGCGTCCAATCGCTGCGCTTGTAATCAAGCACAGGAGTCCGCGGACGAAAACAACTACGACCCCGGTGAAGAAAAGCTTCGCATCAAAGAGCAATACAAGCATCGCCTGTGGGAAAGCCTGCTCCCGGATCCAGATCCCCTTCCAGGGGGATTAGGACGAAGAAGACGAGTAATCCTCACTCGCATACAAGCCAACGCCAATCCCACTCCGGCCCGGATTGCCCGGTGGGGTAAAGGACAATCAGGCACATGCGTAAAATGCAACGGAAGAGCAAAGGCGGACACTGTCCACCTTCTATGGAACTGTTCATACTACAAGGACTTGAGGACAAAGCACAAGCCCACAAACATCACATCGCTGGAGGAATGGGTGCGCCCACCTCCAAGACCACCAGACAACGTGAACATCCTGAAGAGTCTCTTGGACTTAACTTTGAGGCAAAACTCGATGTTCACATGTAGTGTATATAGTATGTAGCAGAGTGCCAAGAGTGTCCAGGTCGCCGTCACCACCGACACCGCCCTTATTCCTCATCCCTTAGTTTATGGCCAATAAACGTTTTCAATCAATCAATCCAATCGCTGCAATGACGACAACAGCCGAACCATAACAATGCCAGGAACTCAGCGCGTGTCTTGTGCCCTGCCAACCCCAGCGCATAGCTATGATCAACATTGGCGGCATATAATCGGCTCCAGATCACGTGGCCGCTTGTTCTGGCTGCGAGTTGAGGGAATGAACTCCGCTCGTTTTTTTTTTTAATTTTTTTTCTGCGACTTCGATTGCGTGTGGTGAAAAACGACCGGGTATTTCACAGGTCATTAACGTCAGGGATCCGTTCTAAGCGGTATTTGCGCAAAATACAAAAATCGTTGCATCGCCCCTTAAGACCTTTAAATAATTGAAATGAAAAAAAAAAAAAAACTTTTTGAGGTACATACATTAGCTATATCAGGCCGCACGTAACGTTTGCTTGGTTGTGCCCGGTTTTGCTTAACATTACAGAATGCAGCACCACCACTGCTTTCTATGAAAGGGGGATCGGTGGTCGAGTGCGCTAGCGCACACCGGCTCGGAGCACGTGGAGCGAAAGCTCGCGTTGCAG